GGGTTTTAGATCAAATCCTAATTTTGGCTTTAAACACATTTGACATTGATGAATGATGCATTTCCTGATGCACAGATTGCCGGTTCTAATGAGTTCAGATGTGATTTTAAAAACTGTGGAACTGCTTTCCTATTACATTGTCATTAGGGAACAGATTTTACATCAGACAGACTTTTAAATTTTACAGACGTTGGTCTTCGGCGTCTAAAGCGTGCAGTGAATAAGTTAGCGGAAACGAAATCCCACAGACTCAGCTTTTAGAAAGGTTTGGAATTATTTATAAGAGCGGGAAGGAATTTCTTTCTGCTAAAGCCTTTGATGAGTCTACAGCACTGAAAAGGATGGTATAATATACAATGTGTTGAGTTTATTTAGTGTATTTGGCTCAGAGCCTCTGTACACTTTGGAGCGGACCTTCAACCCCTTTATTAATTAATGCTAGAAACATGAAAAGGGAAAGTCCGTTAACGTTTAATGAACCTTAAAAAAAGCATAAACAAATATGGCCAATTTACAATTTCCTTTCTTTTGCTAACAGAAAAGACATGTTAACTTCTGAATCTCCACAACCTCGTCTGTGGGATGATTCTTGAATGAATGTGCAATACTTTTGGGGTGTGCGCGTGAGCATTGTGGTGTAAGTGACACTCTCTCGCCCGGTTATTGTACCTATTTTACTCCTGTTATAAAAGACTATTTAGTATTATTGTGTTCATATTGAGTCTTTTACTTGTCATTGTGTATTTTATAATTTTGTTCATCTTTTCAACATGTACATAAAATAAAATTATATTATTCATATTTGTTCTATCCCCTAATCTTATTTTACACAAGATTTTTTTTAATTGTGTGTGATTATTTTTCCACATTATAATTGAATAAATACACCTCTTTCATAGTAACTGAAGTTCGTCATTTCTTGCCTGATTGATCAGTATGAATATACACCATACAGAGCTGTGAAAAAGTATTTGATAGTATATTTTCTGATTTCTTCTATTTTTGCTTAATGCTTAACATGTTTCAGATCATCACATCAGATCACAAAATGCAGCTTTTAAATGATCATTACATTTATTTAAGATAAAGATGTATTCAATACTTGTAACACCCACATGACAAAGTAATTGCCCCCAAACCTAACAACTGTTTGTGCCACCCTTGGCAGTAACAACTGCAATCAAACCTTTGCTAAAACTTGTGATGAGTCTTACATCACTGTGGAGAAATTTTGGCCCACTCTTCTGTGCAGAACTGTTTTAATTCAGCTACACTGGGGGGTTTTCGAGCATGAACTGCCTGTTTAAGGTCTTGCCACAGCATCTCAGTGGGATTCAAGTCAGGACTTTGACTCGACCTCCTGGATGAGTCATCAATGCGTTTTTGGTGAAATTTTGTTCACCACTGTTCCAAGTTTTCTCCATTTGTGGATAACGGCTCTCACTGTGGTTCACTGGAGTCCCAAAGCCTTAGCAATGGCTTTATGACCTTTCCCAGACTGGTAGATTTCAATTACTTTGTTTTGCATCTGTATTTGAATCTCTTTAGAATGTGGCATCTTGTGCTGCTTTTTGAGACCTTCTAGTCTCCTTCACATTGCCTGACAGGTTCAATTTCAGTGATGGTCAGATTTCAACAGGTCTGGCGGTAATCATGTCTGGGTATGACTTGTGAAACTGAACCCAATAGTCAATTGAATTTGATTAACTGATTAATTTAGTATTTAAGGGGGCAATTACTTTTTCATATAGAGCCAAGTAGGGCCGAACAGAATTTGCCCTTCAATAAAAGCATTTTATATTTACTTGGGTTATCTCTGTATAATATTTAAAGTAGTCTGATGATCTAACACTTTGTGTTACAAGTGTAACACATATGCAAAAATAGAAGAAATTGGAAAGAGGCAAATACTTTTTCACACCTCTGTATGTCCAAAAGTATAAGACTCATCCAGAATTTCTTCTGTAATCAAGGGTATTAATAGGGAGTTTGTCCCTCTTTGCTGCAGTAACAGCCTCTACTCTTCTGGAAAGGATTCACACTAGATATTGGATGATTTCACTAGATGTTGGATGAATTCAAACGCCACTCCAACTCATCCCAAAGGTATTGGGTGGAGCTAGGGCTGGGCAATATGGAAATATTTATCATTATTGTGATAAACTTTAGCACAATATGCTTTTCTGAGCACATCATGGATACTGCCTATACTTAAAGAGATCATACTTCATCAAAAAGAGAGCATAAGTAGTCCTGTGTAATTGTATTTAGTGCAGTATATTATGTGAAATGTTAAAATAGTATTTGACCGTATTTTTACATTTTTGTTCACTCCAAGTTTATATTTATTAAAAAATTAAATAAATACTGTGACATCATGCATTGTGAAAATTTCTTGAATAATCATGATATATTTTTGCCATAGTGCCTGTCTCTAGATGGAGTGTCATCACTGGAGAAAATAAAACATAAAATACAAAAACAACATAACACATGCACAGGCCACATTTTAAGTTTCATTATATTGAACAAAAATAAAATACATTACGTTCAGCAAACAAAATGTAATTGTGCATTAAAATGTGCAGAAAGATGTGTTAACTTATTTTCACTTAGAAAATCAACAAAACGTCATTTCACTTGGGTGCCCAAACTTTCTGCATACAGCATTTGTTGCTGCTTTTTTGTTTTTGCTGAACTACATTACTTTTGTTTAGTGAAGCAAACTAATCTTAATTAGTTCTGAAGGTCTAAATATAAAGTTCTGATTTTTGATTGTGATTCAAAATTGTACACCCCTAACATCTATTACTCCAACCTCTAATATTAACACCACCACTCAACACAAAAGTGAAAGTGACAAAGAATGCCTTTATTTTGACTATACAGCAGCACACTTGTTTTTTCCATAAGCTGTTAATGACATTAGTTCCAAATTGTTTAAAAAAGCTACCTACAACAGACTGTAATTTCAATGAGAAATTAGATCAACGCTCTTTAACTCAGGTGTTAAAATAAATATGCCAATGTTAGTTTATTTCTGATATAAAATAAACTATCAATAAAAATGAAAACGACTGAAATAAATAAAATCTACATCATGGTAAAATATATTACAAGCTCCTGACAAAGTGCAAGAAAACACAATAGAGAGAAAAAGAGAAATGGAGAAAGACATAAAAGTCATCAGCATCATCAGTGTCACAAAGTTGAAGTTGTTCCCTTTATACTGAAGAGCCCATGAAGATCAGAGCAAGTGCTGATAAGGAGCTTCTTCAGATGAATTTTAAATGACATGAATTTCATTCTAGGTCAGCATTAAAAAAAAGTTATATTTTGCTCACATCAACTGATTTCTTAGGCATTCACAAGAGATGGACACAGAGTTATTATTCAGGTCAAAGTGTGGAGATTTGACTTTTGAATTGTAAAGAGACACTTACTTTACTGGATTTACATTCATACAAATAATGGATGGTTTTGCTAGTTTAGCAATAGCATAGTGCAGCACAATAAGCTCCCGGATACAGACTGCACTCTTTGCAGCACTACAGACCACAATATTGAAGGTACGCTCTTTTTGTGTTTCCGTTTTAGCATTATTAGCAGCAAAAAAGCTGTTTCTAGTGAGAAGATGGACACTGTTTAACCACATAAAGCCTCTGTGTGCTAACAGTGACAATTCAGCACATAGGTTCTAATCATGGAATGAGTTAAAAGAAATTATAAGGTATCACTGAAGGTCAAGTGGGATATCAGCTCATGAGCTGAATTTCAACTGAACTGTAAGTACTGGAATGGAATTTACACCAACCTGGGTCACTTCTTTTGAGCTCCAAGTACGTTTAATGGTTAGAGGAATGTATGTAAAGCTTTATAAATGACTCTATGACTCAAGGCACCATACTGCACACACGGCACATTTTAGCAAAGCGTCTATTCACACGACAGCTGTGAGGACTTCTTGAATGGGTGGTTGCGCAGTTCAGAGCATATCTGTATTCATTCCCAGATAAAAAAGCAAAAACACTCATCCACAGATACGAAACTTTCCCAGAAAAGTAGTTCAGCCAGAGGTTCAGTGCTTAGACCCCATGCACTGCAGATTTTAGCTTCTGACTTAACTGACTGAATGGATGTGCTTGTTAATTACCTGATGATTTCAGAGGTAGAGATGGCACGTGATCAGATTAGGCTTGGGCGGTGTGACAGTAATATGGTATTTAAAATACAGTGTGTAAAAATGATGATGGTATTTTAAAATTATGAAATCAGAGCCAGGAAAAACTAAGAATAATAGCAGCTCAGCCATGACAAAGAGCTGGAAGCATCAGAACCGCACGTTCTCTGCACACACCAGAAAACATGTTCGACTCTAGCTTTTACTCCAACACCAGTCACTCAGTTCTGCACTATACTGTAAATGGGTGCACTCTGTGGCTGCTCTGGAATACCTTCAGGTAAGATTGTGGCAGCAGAGAACAGAACATCTGGAAACTGCTTCTTCGAATTTTGCTGTTCCACCTTACATGTTGCAGGAGTTACATTCTAGTGCCTCAGGCTTCAGAATGTAAATGCTGCACCATTTAAGATGGAACAGGAAAATCTGAACATGAAGCTGGTGAATAGGAAGCCAACTTCAGCATCATATAAATAAACGTTATTGAGCCTGGCCAAATTTCAGTTAAATTAAGGGCCATATGACTATCATAAATATTATGACTATCATACTGAAGCTAATGCTAACCAGCTCATATCTAGCAGCACTGTTTAACATTTACCAGTTGTTCTATAGATGGTTTGGACATTTATTGAATGTTGGCTTGGAAATCATGCACTGTGTTCACTTAATTGGTAACCACGTAAAGTGGTTACCTAATAATAAACAAAACTACTTTTTGTTTTTTTGTTTTTTTTAGAAATAACGCTAAACAAGACAGCAAAAAGAGTTATGACTTCTTTCAGCAGTAGCTCATCTTAATGTAATGTCTGTCTGTGTGTTACACAAATACCATCATATACCATACACCCAGATGAAATGTCACAAAGGTATTATGGTATGAAAAAACAGATACCGCCCAAGCCTAGATCAGACACCAGGTATTGTCATCGAACCCATTTATATCAGCAGAAAATACAGGACCGGATATCAGAAGGGAAAATAAAAGAATGAATCTGATCCAATCCTCTAACAAGTCCGGTCTGAAATAGCACATGCTCACATTGAGTGACGTGATGTTGTTAGCTGTGTATTCCTTCCTGTGGGGTAGCAGAGTGTTTGAGTAGTTTGAACATGATAGCTTACTTTTTTAGATGTTAAATCTTCAGTGAAGTGCTTCATTTAAAAGCTCACTTTAAAGCTTTGTCAGTATCAGTATTGACCTCAAGAGTTCAGCGTCAGTGATATTGTGCCATCTGTAGTTCAATCAGGTGTGCCAGAGCAGGGAGACTATAAAATGTGCCGTGTAGAAAGTCCGCAGAAATAGAAAAGGGCTCATGGTGGGGTTATATGTAGGCAGCTTGGATGAACTGCTCCAATTCCAACAATAAAACCACTGTAATCTAACTATGGAACACACCCTAGACTGTAGAAATGTTTTGTTTTTTTTTAGATGTTGTTTGCTGTAAGCTGTGCTCAAAGTGGATTAGTTTTATCTGAAGAGGTTCTGTAATGTAATCTGTAAGGAATATGACTGAATGATCAGTGCCACACAGCAGATGCCACTCAGTAACAACACACCTCACAGGTCTATTAGCAGCTTTTGTTATTATATCACTGTAAACTGATTCAAACAGGCTTACTAATACTGAGGGAGCTCCGGGTTAAATGTAATTCAATTCGGAATTATCACTGTCAGATTGTAGAAATTACGAACATCGCAGATTCATGTTGGATTAGCACTAATCGCTTAAGGATCCTTAAGTGCAAGCAACATGTTTTTTTAGATGGTTAACATCCCTGTGATGGCTTATTATCATTGTACATACTGGAATTTAAGGTAAAATGTTCAGCTTTTAGCTAAATGTTAAACCCATTCAAGTTGTTCAATTTTAATGGGTTTAACATTTAATAGGTGATGATTTGAAGCTTTCGTTACTTTATTTTCTGATTAGAAATGTCACAGCAGGAGCTTGCTTGTTTCTGTTGTGCTATGTCTCACAACAGAGAGACATAACACAACTCACCTGCTCAATCTGTTTGGACATAGATGGCTGTACTCTTTACCTGGAGGGGAAGAGAAAGGGAGGCAAGGGGGCATATTCTTAATGAGTGTTAAGGTTTAGGGATACTTCTGTGCCATTTTTAGAAGTGTCCTGGGCATAACAATAATACACTAAGTATTTAACAGATTTTATTTTTGGGCTTTAAATTATGACTTTAGGGGTACTTTAAATTACAGTACCTCCCCAGACAAAACTAATCCAGCTTGAAAAGTTTAAAAGAGTTCTTTTCCTATTAAAGATTCTATGTAATCTTCTGATGCATGGAAGATACTCTGGAAGTTAGCAAAGCAGGTCACCTGCAAAGATCTGTAACAAATGTAACTGCTACTATATACACAATGTTCACAAAGAGGAAGCAAGCAATAGATGCTGTCAGAGAACAAGGAGAAAAAGAGCACATAAATAATAAATAACATACAATCTCGCTCTCTCTCTCTCACACACACACACACACACACACACACACATACACACACTATTTACATTTAGATCCACCTAGGTGAGTTTGCTCAGTAGAGTGAGATGTGTTGCGTTGTCTCCCCCTGGTGGCTAGCGGCAGCCCTATGTATTGTGTGTCCAGAGCGTAACTGTGCGGTCAGCAGACGAGGACAGGAAGGACAGGTGCTGCGGATGCCATCTGCACTGGATCACCTTATCACTGTGCTCCCCTACTACAGTCAACGGCAGCTGTTTCGTAAGGTCACCTACAACACAGACAAAAAACAAATGTATTTTAATCCAGGACTGACCAAATGGAAAAACAGAGTTTTGGAAGCGGTAACTGGGGCTGGCTGGCTGAGAAATGTCTGATATGTTGGAGACACTGCTAGGGCTCAATATAACAATATTTATCACTATCTTGTTAAATGACATCACAATATGCAATATATTTCTGAGCATATTGTGGATACTGTCTTAAAGAACTTAAAGAACACTAACCAACTGTATGTTTCTAATGTATGTCCTTAAAAAATCATTTGTACTCATAGTACAATAGTTTTTGATGATACTTTTTTTAAATGTGGCACCACTGGGTTCTCAGAAAGCATCTCAAACTTAAGCAGTTCGTCAGACTGCTAACAGATTAACAGTCTATCTACAGCTTACAAAGTAGAAAGATTACCTGAATGCCTGTTACAAGCTTCATTTGTCTGCAGTCTGTGTGAAGACTTGAACCATGTTAGTACTAAACATAGTGTGGAAAAAAATCCACTGTCGTTAGCTTGATGCTATAATATAATGAAGAATCTCAGTTCCCTGCTAGCAGAAATTTGCAATCTTGTCATGAGTGTGTCTGATAAACAGAAGCTGTTAATAAAGTAAAGGTTTCCACATTAGGCACTGTTACATAATGACTGGTACAGGTTATGTTCATTAAATGGTACAGAGCAGTACATGCTATTTAAATGCTGATAATGTCCAGGTACTAGTAGTTTCTTCAATGTGGTATTTCATGTTGGAGCAGCTTCTCAGCACTTGGTACAGGTCTGTTCTATAGCTGGGTTCTCAACTCCAGTCCTGACTGCTGCTGACTTATAGTCCAGTATGATAGTCACACGCAGTGAGCATCATTATGTGGACTGTTTTTATTTTTGCTTAATATATATATTAATAATAAATAATTATTTTGTTGTAAATATTGCACACAAATCTGAGACATGTCTCTCGCTTCTCTACCATGAAGACCATTCTTAAGAAGAAATTTCTTCTTATAACGTATGCAGTTTTCACAAAGATTCATCAATGTTTTCTTATCTAGGATTTGTTCTTAGGTAAGAACAGAATCTACACACACTCAAGAGCACAAAGTTGCAAACAATTCTGCAATTTAAGAACACGTCATGAATCTGACATAGACTTTTTCTCAGGGCCTTTCTTAAGAACAAATTTTAGAAAAAACTTAAGAAGATATTGCTGAATGATGCCCAAGGTTTGAAGGTGAAACAGTGACAAAGACGGTTGATCAATAAGCTACTGGATCAGGACACTTGACCTGAGAAAAGCTCCCTTCACTCCTCTGCTGAGTAAAGCTCCCTTCGCTCCTCTCCTTCTGTACTTCCTATTTTACTTCTTTTTACGGAAGTGAACCTCGTTGTGAATAGCTGCTTGTTTCATTTCTTCCATTAAAAGTTGCTGTGCTTATCTGCTTACACTGCAGTACCGCTTGTAGTCCAAAACAAAGACTGCAAAAGTAACCACAGTAACAGGAATTTTCAGGAGTCTGTTCTCGCCAGCACAAAATTATAATGAAATCCAATCTGGCTGTTCAGACAGAAGTCGCACTGCCACATATCAGATATGTATCGGATTTCAGTACCACATATACAAGTGGTCCAAATAGCAAAAGCATGAAAATTCCTTATTCAACAACAAACCAGATACTGCATTTGCCATGTTTCCACAAAAAAAGAAGAAATATAAGTTCATATCGCCACAGATACAGTCAACCTATTGCAGAATTTAATGCTCAAAACACTAGCAACTTGTAAACTGTTAAACGAGCCGTCTCCCAAAGTGCGAACTATCATTTCCTGTAGTGTGGGTGAGTTTGCTGTAGTGCAGGGGAGAGTCAGCAGTAGTAAGAGTTTCTGAAGGCTGTAGGAAGTGGAGTTGTGTTAGGTGATTAGGGCAGATAAATTAGCTCTAGAACAGGTCAGTGAAACGTAAATTGCTAAAGCTGCAGATGTTGTGGTGGTACTGGGGTGTGGCATGTATTACCTTGCAGGTCAGTGATGATAACCTTGGCGTCATAGGAGCCGGTCAGGAGGTAGTGTGCTCCAGGGGAGAAACGGACAGAGCGAACATCACTGGTGTGTGGACGATACGTCTGTACCATTCGCCCCCCTCTGATGTCATACAGCATGCAGGCACTGTCCTCCTGCCCTGTGGCCAACAGACGCCCGCTTGGATCCACCGCCACTGAGGCTACAGGACTGCCTAGAACACATCCAGGGAAACATACAAGGCAGATTCAGGCATTTTGGGAGATTTAAAAACACTCTTTTTTTATTCATTATTACGTTAGCTGACATTTCTAAAATAAGTCCCATCTGCACGATGTAGGTACTACTGCAAAATCAGTGTTACGGTTAGCATAATGTGACATTCTGTCATGATATGTTTCCTTTTTTTATAGTCCTCTTTCTTTGTTAAATAACCATTTAATAGTCTGTAAAACTGGCTTAGGGTCCATTTTAATTGACTGATCTGATGATTTGGCTACGAGTTACTTTATTATACAGTTAAATCACTTCATTTCTTATTATATGCATAGCGTTATGCACTCTGAACTAATAGTTTTATTTTAGACTTCTTATATGAATTAACCATCCTATAGGATGATTATTTCATGCTTCTCTAACATGCCACAGCATACTGCTCCTCTTTCTTATGTTTGAACAGGCTTCAGCTGACGTCAGTTTTATACCAGACATGGTGCATGTAGCCGGTAAAAACAACATTCTGATAGGTTGTTTTTAAATCTAGGGTGTAGTGTATTTAATACATGATTTTGGTGGCATGTTGCTCATGGCAAGTAGCAGAAAACTGTCTCTGCATGCACTCTCACATCCTATGCTGCCAAGACAAAAAGTGGCTAGTTTAAACACAGTAGAAACACTGGAACTGCAGTGTTACACATTTGAAGTTTCCTCTTTAAACAGTTCAATACTGCAGACATTTAAATCACTTCATTCTGAAAACACTCCACATTGCTACAGGTTGTGGAAAAATGTTTTTTTTCAGCACCTCTACGACAATGGAGTAAACAAAAAAAAAAACAAAGGATCTGAACTTGACTAAGCTTATTATAGCAGGTACCTCATCCATTACAATATGCCTGGATCAGACATCCCTAAATTTAACAGTAAAAAGATAAGACATTTTATGACCTGAAATTTTCAATATTTATTTTAAGACCTTATAAGATTTTTTAAAGGATCCACAGGAACTCTGAGTTATCTAGTTTGAGGAATTAAAGTGTGGGCATATTCATGTGCCCTCATGGTTTAAGGGGTTAAATGAAATGAACGATGCCCACCTGACCCATGGAAGGCTGTGCCCACTACTCTCACACAGCTGGGCACGCGAAGGTCCCAGAAGCGCACGGTCTTATCCTGCGAGCCAGACGCAATCATCCAGCCTCCCCACGTATACAGAGAGAGAATATGACCTGAGGACAAACAGCACAGCCAATAAGAGCTTTTAAACTATGTGACAGGGTGTAGCAGACTGAAAAGATATACATACCTGTGTGTCCACTGAGAGCGTGCAGCCCCTGTCCTCGCTGACAGTCAGTAGTGTAGATGTTGCAGTCTCCCGCTCCAGCACTGATTAAAATAGATCCTCCACTCTCAGGACCCTCCATAAATGCCAAGTCCCTAATAGTCCCATCATGCATACTGAACTCCAGATCAGGACCTGAGGGAGAGAGGGAGAGAGAGAGAGAGAAAGAAAGAGAGAGAGCGCAAGCAGACTGTGAAAAACCTCCTACTAGAATCTGCAAACAACAGAAGCATGCAAGAGAACTGAGAGCAGGTGAAAGTGCCTCCTTCTTCGTCTCTGTGCTCACCTGTAGCGTTGCAGGTTTCAGGGTTGAAGGGCAGTACTTTGACATATTTGTCGTTGGAGCCGGTGGCTAGCAGTTGACCGCAAGAGCTCCAGGCCACACAGTATATAGAACCTTTATGATGCTTATTTCTCTTAAAGCGCACCACCGGGGGCTTAGACGCATTAGAGCCACTAAGAGATGCAGACAAATACAGAAAGGAACAAGCTCAATTATTTAGCGTATAAAGACAATGTAACAGTAACAATAACTTTGATAAACCCACATTAACTGCATCTCTTAATGTAAAAGTAGATTAAGAATAAATAGAACAGCCTGTGCTGTTCTAATCAGCTGTCTGGAAAGGGTCAGTTCAGATGCAACCCAACAAGACAGCAGCCAGCTTCTCCAATGTCAATTTCACAATTTCAAATTAGTCAATCAGCAAAATAAACAAGATGGTAAACATAAACAAGGTTATGAATATAGCTAAACCTCTTTGTTTAACCTGAGGTTTCCCAACCCTGGTTCTGGAAAACTCCAGCCCTGCACATTGTGGAGTTCTCTCTGTTCTAAAACACCTGATCAGACTAATAATAACGTGTGTGTGTGTGTGTGAATACCTTGTGTCGAGAGTATCAGGGTAAGCACACACGCGCAGGGTTTTGGAGTTGGAACCCACAGCGTACATCGCTCCTGAAGGATGGAAGGCTACAGCACGCACAGCCTGAGTGTCCTCCATAGTGCTCACTGCTACAAACTTCGCCTTACACTTCTCCCCCTGCTACAGAGGAAAAGCACACCAAAATACGCTGTTACTAGCGGTCAACCAATACATCGGGTCGTCAATATATCAAACCGATATTCAAATTCTTTGAGCATTGGTATCAGGCTATGGAGACACCCACACTGCTGATAATCTTTCAGTACAATAAGCTTTTAAAATATCATTTGTGTGATATAGTGCACCCCCTTACGCACTATGTGCACTACACATAGCATGATGTAAACAAAAAAACAATATACAAAACTACTTAAGCTGCAAAAGAGACGTAGTTCTGTGGGTCTGTTAAAGTAAGTCTACTTAGAAGCTAAACAACAGCTAACTGCTCTTTATATTATACTAGGTATACCAGGGCAGGGCTTGGGTACTTTGTTAACTGCTCCAGATAACAGTATTCAAATACTGAAATCGCTATTCGGATTTTCATGATGCTCCATCAAGAAAAGTCAGAGAGAAAATATACAGGTTAACAATTCAGTGAAACTCTGTTAAATTTTAACTTGTAAGTGACAGTTTTGTATTAAAATGTATATAACATTGTATAAGTCTGTTTTTGTGTTTTTCTATGGGGTCAGAACAGGGTCAGTGTGTGTCTGATTTTAAGTCCAAGAGGTTACCAAACAGACAGACAACGCAGATGTAGCCGATAGCCAGGATGTGGACATTATTCCGCTAGCGCATTTTATGATCGATGTTTAAAGGTTCACGTTTTTTCGTTAGTGATTAAAGTTACAAATGGAACAAAAACCTTTGATCTGCATTGAGGGATGGTATTTTTGAAGATGGGCGAACATGTCTGATGGGTTTCCTCCCATCACTTTGCAGCCACTTTGCATTACCATTTTTGGCAAACTGGATATCTGTCCTCGAGGACAACTCCACATTCGTTTTTGGGATGTCCAAAGTAATCCCACTCTGCTGATTTTAACTTCTATTTTGGAGGATGAAAATTGGTGATATCAGTCTCCCTTATCGCTGCAATTTTCTCCACTGCATGTGTGGGATTACTTTGGATATCCCAAAAACGAATATGGAGTTGTCCTCGAGGACAGATATCTGTTACACCCATTGCTAAGTCTGAAGGCCACAGCACACCCCGAAAACCATTTTTTTAATGGAGGTACGGCACTGGCGCTTGATGTCTCTGAGCACTGCTCAATTTCTTAGTGCTTCACAGCACGCCATTTAGCATTTTACCATTACTACATTGAATAAAAGCCATGCTGAGACCACAGAAAGCCAAAATAGATCACATAAGATCTGAGGAAAGCAGTCAGTCAGTCTTTTAGGTAAACAGACAAACGCTAATGGTTATTAAACCGGACCTGAAACATTCCGGTTATTGAACTGGAATCCCAATTTGGACTACGCATGAGTTAAAGTGTTCAACCAACCCGATTTGCGCAGGAACGTTGTGAAACGATATTGTAAACAACATAAATCTGCTGCGCATACGTAGTCCAGATCAGGTTTCTGGTTCAAATCAGGTAGCGACAGCCTTCACAGGCAGTCGAGGAGAAAAGGAGAGATGTACGCGCAGGGAAGACTGCCTGTTCGGTTACATTTTTTAAAATACCGGTAAGAAGCAAATGTACATGGTGTGATAACCAACAATTTTCATATAATGGTATATCACTGCAACCCTAGAACCAGTTTTCTCTGTTTATTATGAGTAATGACTATGATATCTTAACATCAGCTGAAACCATTTTTCCCCCCCTTCCTCTTTCTTGAGATTAACTGAATATCCATTCATTATACTTATAGATACTTAAATATCAATAAGTCAGGAAGCACATCTCTGTGGTGTCCATCTACACGGTCTGTATTTAAGATCAGTGTTAAATTGGCATTTTATTGGTTATAAAAAAATGTGTAAATTGGTATTGTAATCGGCCTTCAAAGAGCCCACACTGGTTGAAGACTAGTTGTTACAAGATGTTATGGCTCTGCTGGGCCCCGCCCTGTATTCTCTTTGTCTGTTTCTTCTTTACTGGGTGGAGTCCCACGGTGTGCTGCTCTCGTCGTCTCCAGGGCCATTTGTTTTGCACTAAACTCTTGCCCACATGTAAATCCAAACCCTGTTATAACTGAACTGCAGAATGCAATTGGTGTGGAGCACTGCTGTTACTTGTGAGGCTGTATGCATTGGATGCACGCCAAGAGGATTAGGAAACTGCATTAATTAAACACTGAATCCTCCAGAGATAGAGAAAGAGAGAAAACAAAAGAGAGAGGGACTTGAGGCCCATAAACAAAAGTATTGTTTTAATATGTTTTACAACTGATTTGTTTAGGACTGTGACGATTAGCTAAACTTAAAAGCCTCCCAAACCCTAACCCCTAAATTTCAATTAGTGAAATTAATACTTACATTTTTTCCATTTTTTTCAATGTTGCTTTTAAAAGGATTTTTGATTTCCTCTAAAGTGAAGTTGAAAGATGTAGATTTAAAGGTTTAGTTTAATAAATAAAAAAAATACTTTTCATGTTTTCATGTCAACTTGAAACTTGGTAAAGCTTTGAAAGAGTTATTATTGTGTTGGTGGTGAGAAAATGGAATGTTCAATTATTTGTTTTAATTATACAAACAATCACCTAGAGCAAAAGGATTTTAGTCTAAAGTCCAATTCAATTAAAAGTCTGCAGTGTGTTTTCAACTCTGACTTTGAATCAATTTCATAGAACAATCATTATACTCTTGAACTTTGTTTTTGTGTTGTTTTTGAACTGTTTTGTTAACTTTCTTACACCTACTGTGAAGTCAGCCAACAGGTTATTGTAGCTTTCTTTTACTGTTATTGCATCCTATTAAAATTATATGGCTATTGAAAGCAACAGTACTAGGCTTTGTCTTTTTTATTGACTTTGATGTAACTCATTCATGTTTCATTAGGAAAAGTGTTTGGGCCAGGAAGGCTGCAGCACGGTTTTATCAGTGTAACAAGCAAGACCAAAGAAGTCAGAGGGGTAAAACGCTCTCACATCCATCATGCACCTCAAAAAAAAACAAAAAAAAACAAAGCTGAAGCCACACAATGTACTTGTTGATGGATACGGACATGGACTACACATTAAAAAAGGCTAAAAGAAATCAAAGGCTGCAAACAAATATGATTACCTGCATCTTAAGTCTCCGGACTGCATGTTATCTAACCTTTAAATCATACATGAAATAGAGTCAGGACTGGAATTTCAGATAACGAATAAGGCTCACACAAACAAAAAGGGGTAAAAATAATAAATTCCACTTTTTCATGGAAGTATTGATAAATCGATTAGTGGTCCCAGCCCTAGCCTGTTAATATTATAACCATTGCTACAATGTCTAATTATTATCAGTGGCATGTAATTGCTTGCAATTTACACAGCTATGCCAATAAAGTAAAATAAAAAGTGTAAGGGTGTGTGTTCACTGCTACAGTTACATACCTCTGCCGCTTTAGTGCGTGTCATGCCTCCGTCACTCTGTCCTCCTCTCTCCTTCTGCCCACTGCACAACAAAACACAACACACTTACACACTCCTGACAACCCCTTAACACTCATCATGCATCACAGTCACAATCTCCTACACAGACTATTATATACTATGTTATAAAATATTGTAGAAGAACATAGATTAAGAATGTGGTCTAACAAAGCTGCAAGTTTGCAGATTTTTTTGCAGATTCTGATACAAACTATATGATATATATGATGTTCAATGAAGACATCACAATGACGATATGAGAAGCGATAAATTATTAAAATTGAGTGTCTGACTGGATGTGACACAAATACAGGCCTAGTTTTGGATGTGTAAACTCGGCCTGGGCGAGTTCTTTTTGTAAAAGAATTGAGAGAGAATTAGAGAGGAAATTGGGATTTATGTATAAGAAGTGTGCTGGCTCACGTACCAGTAGTCAGTTTCTGAGAGAGACAGAGAAAGAGATGGTAAGATTGAAGAGATTGAAACTGCCTGTGTTATTTCTCTCTGCTATGCACTGTAATGCTAGTTTTACCTTACAAATTCCCCTTAATTTACTGTACATGAATGGAATTGAAAATGAACGCCAACGTGCTTTAGAACTTAAGCTTGTCTCAAAGTGACTCGGTACAGTAAAAAAAAGAGCTAAATTAACTGGATGTTAGCATAGAGCAGCTAAGTTAACTCTAACCTGGAGAAAAGGTTCCTCTGATCCTTGTCTACGCCCAATGTTCTCAGACAAAGGTAATAAATATTAACACTGATTTAAGTACAGATTTAGTGTCCCAGTGACTGTATATTATCAATGATCACAATTTTTTAACCAAAAAATTTCATCCTAATTATTTTTGGATGTCACCCAGACCCAGAGTAAATAGAAAGAGAATTACCTGAAAAACTAACAGCTACTAACATCAGAACTGCAAACACATTTTTTGTGTACCACAAAACCATGTAAGTTGTAATTATTGGCACCCCGGCATTTAGTACTTTACTTACCTCCCTTTATCAGCATATCAGCAAGTGTCTTCCCCTGTAACATTTGTTAAGACTGGAGATGAATGTCTGAAGGAATGGATATCTGAATGATATCTAATGCAGTAAACTGTTAATGGTTTAAATGAGCATAAAGTTTATGTAATTTTACAAGTGCTCAATATGACCTCCTACAGCTGTACGGACAACATCAACGCCATAGTCACATTCACCCCATACTCGATTGAGCATGTTGGATGCCACTGCACTCACGGCTCTTTCAATGCGATTTCAGAGATCATCCAGTGTTGTTGGGAGTGGTGGCACATAAACAGAATCTTTAACGTACCCCCATAAAAACGTTACACGTGAGATCTGGTGATGCTGGTGACCTTTTTTTCTTTGAAACTGTTGGTACCAACGACGAAAGCACTGAGCTATTTGAGGTTCACTGCCATACTGACAGTCAGAAACTCTATGACCCCCTCTTTCAATTGGTATGTGATTGGTTCCTAGATTCCTCATGGTGGTAAAAATATGGCACTTTGAAATCTGATGAATCTTTTTGAATCACCCTGTATATATATATAAATATATATTTAGTTACTATATATTTTTATAATTTTTTATAAACTGCAAAAGTGTTGCCAAAACTGTCGATGGAGCGATCTATGTGTTTACATGTCTTTTTATCTTGAATTCCTCCTTCTCAAACCGTTCAACTAACTGGAGCACGTTTTAATCAAGACTAAGACCTTTGTGGGACCATGACAAGTGAATCGTACTGCTTTTATGATCATGTCTTAAGCCTTCTTTACACTGTATAATTACATCAGTCTTACTGCAGGTCACACTGCAAATAACATCTTAGGCTATGTTCACACAGCAGGTAAAAGTGGCACAAATCTGATTTTTTTGTTTGGCTGTTCACATTATCTTTTAAATGCGATCTACATGCGACATTAGTCTGAACAGATCAGCTCCTAAACTTCCAACAAACGCCAGTTGCTACCAGAGCTTTCAGTTTCATCTTCACCAGCATCACAGGAGCGATCATGAAGTTTCACTGACTGACAGCTGGGCTCATCATCCAGAATGTGTTCGAGCTTGCTGTAAAAAGCACACGTTATTCAGCCACGCTTTCCTACGGCCGCGTTTGGCCATTTCTTTCGAAATCTCTTTGAACACAGAGGGTTTTGGATTAGTCTCTTCTAAGTTTTGTACAGAAATATACCAAATGTTTATGAGGTCTCAGCAGCGCGAAGTTATGACAAATGTCAAGTTGGATTGACGTAAAAGCCGCATGAATTCCGATCTGGCTGTTCAGACTGAGTCGCAAAATTTCTGACACTGCAATAATTTTATTGTAGGCAGCCTTTGTTCAAAGAGGCAGGAAAACGGTCAACTTGGGGCATGTCATATTAATGTTTAAAGACCACAGATTTTAAGTCACTATACAAGAATTCTTTCACGATTTGCAATTTTTGTTTGTGACAGCATTACTGTGATGATTCTCGCACAGTGTAAACCTGCCTTTAGTCAGACTGGTAGTCTTAGGCTAATCACACTATTGGTGTGCATGTAAACGTACTAAGTTTTTCACTTCAATAAACATCTATGTACTGCTCCTATGTACTATACTGTTTGTTTTAATGGAACGACTCAAGCTATGACATTCTTTCTGCATATTACTGCAAGAAATGTTGGTTGGTTCTGTTTGGTTCAGGAGCGTTGGCTAGGCATGTAAAGATTCAGGGCTTAATCCAGTCCATTGCAGGATTGTTTTGGGGTATCCTCGCCCACATTGGGGTATCCTCGCCCCTCATTCTGTAATAAATTAGTTAATTTGTTCAGGCTCTGGGTGGAGCATGGTAGTCCTGGGTACTGGGCTCTGTTGCACTAAAATTGTGCTCAGGTGATACAGAACCCAGTTAAATTGAGTATGTGTATGTGTGAGCTGTTAGAGAAGCCATGTCTGATCTCACCTCTGGGGTAACACAGGGGATTCAGTAGGGGGCTGTATGGCTTTTCTGCCCCCCGGTCTCTGTGGAGTGCTGCTGGTGACTCCCTCCTTAGGATGTGGGGTGTCTGTGGTAGCCCCTGCTGTTCTATCCGTCTCTCCCCCTCCACCATTACACTGTAGAGACAGAGCCTGAACCTCCTCTCCCAGATCATCCATCCCCACATTCAGCTCCTCCAGCTTCTGAATGGACCTGCAGAAGTATATATAAGTGCATGTAAGCACATATACATACGCGTGCACCTTCACAAACGCATCCGGTATATTTTTACATTTCTTACTTTACACACTTTGCATCTTCTGACATTTGACACCAGTTATTTCAGTACCCCCAAAACTGACCCATCCATGGATGGTCCAAAATATATTCGGCAGTAATTGTGAGGTTGGGCAAACTTTACAGACCTTTCGCAAAAATCGTATTCAACCGAATGAAAATTGCAGCAAATAAAGTACTTTTATTTTTGTCAAAATGCATAAATTTAGCATGCATTATTAATTTCACATGATATTTAAAATCTGCAGGGATATTATACCACATTTCCAAAATTCAGTCTTGGAAGTTGGTTGCATTTTTCTGCTTCTCACAATCCACATACGCCCAAACACATTCAGTGATGTTGAGGTCTGGACTCCAGGGTGACCAGTCACTTGTTCTGAGAACAACAACAGCTTCTTTGTTTGATTTGCAAATGTTTGTTTTTTTGTCTATTTCCTCAGTAACAGCTTCTTGACCGCTACACATCAAACTCCATAGTGTGGAATTGTCTTCTCACAGACAAAGGATGGACAGATGTGAAGCAAGACTGGAGCTCTCCTGTCCCTCAAAGACGAAAGCTTTAAGTACTGTTTATCTGATGGTGATAGTTTTGGCGGTCTACCAGGTCTTCCACACTTGTTAGGTGTCCCATTTTCTCTACATCTTCTAATAAAGAGAATTTTTTAATTTACGTTGACTTTCTCCTTCAATATCCAAGTGAACTATCTCATCCTGTAAAAAAACAAATAACCTGTTCTTAATGGCCACCAATAAAAGGCAGTCTCTGTCTTTTGCAGTGTATTTGATATCCACATGAAAGGTCACAATACTAGAATAGATTAGCCGTAGTTTTTTACATCAAAACACACAATTAAAACCAAAATTAAAAACAGTATGGCCTTCCTCATCTTTCATGTGTTGACAATAAGTATCATTTGAAATTGACACCACACTCCACATCAAACCAAAGCTCCTTAAAGCTTGGTTGACCTTGAAACAGTAGCTGTGAAAAGAACGTATTTTTGGGTGGAGCATGAATATCAATTCAGATTCTATGTGCTATATCTGAATTAAATAAACATGCAGACTTGCAACCTGGGTATGTGAGGCCAACAAGCACACTCAATTTAATTTGTATGTGAGCAATTCACAACCTTGCTCTCAACAGAAACTAGTCGGTTGTCAGGTTAATAAGTTCTTAACCTACAATACGCTTGAGTTACGACATTACTGTTCTTTCATCCTTTCATGGCCTTTGTACTGAATACACTTCTGTACCAATGGAGGGTTTTCATTAGCATAATAGTATTAGAATAATCTTCCATTACACTATAATCAGCTCTTAGATCTTCACTTCATGAGCACTCAGATATGATTTGGATATTAAAAACGAGCCAGATAGCAAATTTTATTAATAATAATAAAACACAGGTTAGTCTACTAACCACGTTCAATGAGCTTCATCCAGAGAGCTACTGAGAGACAAAGCTCTGTGTGTGGGTGTTTATATTTATATGACCTCATATTCATGCATGTACTTGAGTGTATTTCCCTGGGGGTCCCCCTCCACCCCTTCCCTGGACTCTAAGTGCACCATCTGGAGACCCCCAGGTGGTCTTCTTTTTGCCCTCCTCATCCCCCTTTCATTAGCTACTCATTCCTCTCTCAATTTCGCCACCCCTCCCTCCCTCCCTCCCTCTAAAACCACAAAAGAATACTATGACATGAGCACACTTCATTACCAAGGTTACTGTGGCTGCCATGGCAACACCTTTCAGTTAGCCCTGTTCTTAAAAAATAGCCCTAAAAACAGAAACTTTGGGAAAGCCTGAAAAATCTGCCTTAATTCTGAGATTTTATGCCTCGAATTACAGTTTACACATTCAAATCACATCTATAAATACCATCCTTCATTTATTTAAACTCCAGTCAAAACTGCCATCAAGTACAAGTTATCCATTGTCAGGAGATATTTCTGAGGAGACTGACTACAAGATAATCCACCTGCACAAGGAAGGGGAGTTTCCAAAACATTACTTAAAGCTTTCATCTTTGAGAGAAAAAAATCAAGTTCCAGTCGTGCTTCAGATCTGAAAAAAATCCACAGGTATTTCTGTCCATCCTCCTACTGCTGAACTGAGAAGTCAACTCAGCACTATCTGATGTGTAGCTGTCAAGAAGCCCTTACTGATAAAAGAAAACAGACAAAAAAGATGAACATTTGCAAATTAAACAAAGAAGCTGCTGGTGTTCTCAGAAAGAGTCCAGACCTCAACATAACTGAATCTGTTTGGGATTAATTGCAACCAATTCTAAGGACTGAACTTTGGAGGTGTGGAAAATATCTCTGCAGACTTCCTCAAAAAACTGAAAGGAAGTGTAACACACAAAATGCTCAAAATAAGCAATCTAAAAATAATCTGTATTTAATACCGATTTTGAATGGAAATGAAGGGTGTGCTCTGACTTCTGCACAGTACTGTATAAACAGCTTGTGTCATGAGCAATGAAGTTTCAGCATCTGACTGTGTGACAGGACAATGAGTGTTTGATCTCCTCGCTCTCTCTCCCTCCACCCTACTGTCTCTCTGCATTATTTATTAAGCTGGCCCTAACACAAATTTCGGAACCTGCAGAGTTCTGGAAATGCTCTTTGTTCATTCAGAAACATGGTCTTTCAAAAAGGGGGAACAAACATATAAACAAATAAAATAAAGCTCCCAAAATGAGCTTCAAATAAACTCCTGCTAAAACATACTCAACAATGTAAAGACAGATCACTCAACAGAACCCCAATAAAACTGACCAACATCTCACAAATATCAAAACAATACTGTATATAAACAATTTGCTATAAGAGACAAAATTATCATGACTTGGCAGAGTTGATCACAAGAAATCTAACACACACCCACGAGGCCGCTGCTCAGATGAACCCAGCACACCATGTATCAGCATCAACAGAGGTGAAATAAACTTCTAAAGCTAAGCCTAAACTTCGTTTGGAAAAGCCTGTTTCTTCCTTAACAGCCACATCATCCAAGAGTCCAGGGCTGCAAAATTTCAAAATTTTGAATTTTCTACTGAATATTAACTTGAATTTATTTTTTTACTACGATAAGAAAAGCTCAAATGTTTCACTCCAATGACTGAATGAAAAAACGATTCACTCTGCTTTTTAGTTGATGCTTTCTAATGAAACTAAACAAACACTATAAACTAAAAAAATATATATATATTGCAACTACTGAATATTTTTATTGTGAAACAGTCTGTCATGAATATTATTTAACAATAACAATTGAAAAAATCATTTTAATAACTCAATATGATTTTTTTTATATTTGTTGGTCTAATTACACCGTAAAAAATGGCTTGTCAGTTCAACCTAAAAAAATTACTTTTTTAAAAACTAGTTTTAGTTTGGTTTAACTTAAAAAATTACACTGATTGAAAGAATTGTTCATTCAAAGTATTTATTTAGGTTGATAAAACTAGTTAATAAATTTACTTGTTACCACATGATTTATATTTTTAGGTTGAATTGATGAGACATTTTTTACAGTATATTGTTATTATTAAGTTGGCTTGGAAAAAACCAACTTACTGTTCTTCGTAATCTTCTTGTTATTATTATTCTACGCTCAAAATATAAAATGCTATTCCTCCCACAGTTTTCGTTCCGACGTACGGTTTTCGTAAAATTATCGTTCAAAGATGATATTTTTCCCATAGGAATGAATTGGTGAAATTCAAATTTGTGATGTCACAATGGGCTCCTCTCACACACACACACTCACGCATGGAACACAAAGTCTCACATGCTCACAGCCTAATGCACAGCAGTATCAGCACAAATAATGAATTTTTTAAGGTGGAACTGCTTTTAAGGTAGCACTGACTTTAAGCTGGCACTGAAATTAAGGTGGAACTGCATTTCAGTTTGCACTGAATTTAAGGTAGAACTCTCCTTAACACAGCACTAAACTTAAGGTGGCACAGAATTTAAGGTGGAACTTGAAATAACATAGCACTAAATTTAAAGCGGCACAGAGTTTAAGGTGGAACTGCAATTAACATTGTATAAAATTTAAGGTGTCACAGAATTTAAGGTGGAACTTAATTTAAGGTAGCACTAAAATTAAGGTGGCACAGAATTTAAGGTGGAAATTCGTTTAAGGTGGCACAAATTTTAAGGCAGAATTTCAATTAACATAGTTAATTTAAGGTGGAACTGCATTTTGCATAGCACTAAATTTAATGTGGCACAGAATTTAAGGTGGAACTTCATTCACGGTAGCACCTAGCAACGAATTACCATCCACCACGGATATTGCAGTTTCTGCTTAGCAACATTTTGGCAACATTTTAACAACTATCAACAGTCTTTAACCATTTTAACGTTTTAACGTAATTAACTGGCTTTTTCAAGCCAACTTAAAGTTCGTTCACGAACTTTCCCTTTCTAGTTAAGTTATTAAGTTCAACCATGTACTCACAAGCATGATTATGAGCTACATTTATGTAGAACAGAAACTGAATGACCTTAACCTGGTGTAAAGCAGGTTAAGATCCAGATTAAGGTGCAGGCCTGAGCTTTTTTAAGTGTACACTGCAGCCAAACAAGTGGAAAAACAGTCAAAAGGGTGGGACTGTGGATTTTATGGACTCGTTCAGACATGTGGCTACAGAACAGTATACACAGCACAGAGGACTCTCTCTCTATCATATACACATACAGCACAAAGACAATGTCAACAAACCCCTCTGTATGCCTACTAACAGCACCTGATCATGATTAATTATTAAGGGCCGTCAAGTCAGTTGCAACTCCTGGTGACTACATGGATGGTGCTTATAAAGAATATTCTGTCCTGTTTCGGTCTTGCACCTGTTTAGTGCTGTAAAGCACACTGACCTCAGAGCAAGTGAGGAAGGCCTCCATAAGGTGGTGCTGGGTTTATGATTGTGCATGAATATGATGCTGTGGGACTATATCACAGCAGTAAAGTAGTTTTGAGGTTCTGAGCACAAGCTAAACAACTGAGGTTTAGTTTTGAATGTTGGCCTGGGTGATTAATCATGAACAATAACTACTAAAATCAAGCAATTTTTGACACTGACATTGCATGTTTGAGTACTTTTTTAGTAAAAAGATTATGCCATTCTGTTCCTCAATCAGGTCTTAGCAACAATGGCTTGAACTTTAAACAAATGCAACTTCAGCTCACCAGGTGGCAATGAGCACCTTTTCTCCCGCTAGATGAAGAGGAAGAAGTCTAGCCATTCAGTCACAAAACAAAGGTAATTAGGAACTGATTTCTATATTGAAATTATGGTCAGCCAGAGTTTCAGGGAAAAAAGTCAGAACAAAAGAAGACTGTGAAAACAAAATTTGATACATACTTATTAGAGTATATAAATCACTTTTATAAGCCACTTTACAGCTTATACCAGAGTAAGTCTTTTGTTTTTCTAAATATTCAGACTGAAAATGGCACATTATTATTATCTATATTAAAAGATATGGACTAATTTATATTTAAAATTATTTTTTTTTTTAATCATGAGGCCAGACATAAAGCACTGTGATTGACCTGTTGAGGAAGGTCTCTGTGAGGTTGTGCTTGGCAGTGGGTGGAGTCTCCTGATGCTGGACTCCGCCCTCCAGCAGCATCTGCTGATAGAGCTGTCTCTGCTGCTGCTTCTGCTCCAGGTGCTGCTGCACTCGCAAACGCTGCCTGTAGTACTCCTGATACTGCTCTGTGGAGTCCCGCAGCTAGAGAGAGAGAGAGAGAGAGAGAGAGAGAGAGAGAGAGAGAGAGAGTGTCAACATACAGGCTCTTGCAGTCTAAGAGGTCAATAACTGTATTACTCCATTTACACTTTTATGCATTCTTATATTAGTGCTAAAGCAGTTCTGTATTTCACTTGAGACATTCACATCAATACATCAGTGTTGAATTTAACCTGAGAGACAAATAGAATAAAACCAAAAGAGTGACAGTGCTGTTGCGAAACACCACAAAATCCTTCTCTTTCATCATTCAGCAAACCCAGAGACAGTAACCCTAAATAACTATTCATACCAAGTAGAATTTTTGCAAGGGAAAATAAACAGATGTGTATTACAACATTTCATAACCTTCACATCAAATACAGAAGAGGTAAGCCAACCTGATTCCTCAAGCAACAGTGACAAAGACTTTATTTATTTATTTTTTTAATATACTGCACACACACTTACACTTTTACAAAAAAGCTGGATATAAACAGACTATAATACACCTATATAAATAAAACAAAAATAATAAACAAACAAAGGTTTAACAGCAAGACTAGCTGTTCTGTTGCTTTTATCTTGACTGAAACCATGACACTGATAGGTCAGCATGGTCTTTCTGTAGAGACTAGGTGTTTATAGGCTTTAACTCTAAGACTAAATAAAAAGAAGTCCTAAAATCCAGTGAGGGCACCAGGTATTCACATGCTACTGCAATCTGAAGATCTTAAAGGTCTATTTCAAAAACATTTTTTTAAAATGTAGTAAGATACGGCACGGCATACTAAAATTAGGAGAAACGACTAAGCAGAAGAAGAAACTGAAAAACACAAAGATGACGATAACAAGAACAAATTTCATGTTTTAGTCTACGAAGAGGCTACAAATCTCATGAAAGACTTTTTGGGATAAGGCATTTTTGTTTGCAAACCATTTGAAAGTCATCAAACAATCAAAACTAACACTGAGAGAATCGTGAAGAAAAGAAAAACCATGAGAACCTTGAAATGGACAGGCGGTACTTGCAAATGTGTTTGACATCTACACGCTAAATGAGACTCATGACATCATGCATGCATTGTTGACTGATGATCCAGCATTAGATTTGAGATACACAAACAACACTGTGGAAGGCACTGTGTTTGCATGTTACTATTTACTATGAACACACAACCATTTTTGACCATTTGAGCATGTAAAATTATTTCAGATTATCAATATTATCAGTTTTCAAAATTTTAAGCCTCTTAAATTGGTATCTGTGACCACATCTTCACACTGCTTGGTCTTAGCAATTCTAATATTATTTTTAAGCCATATCAATCACCCCTACCCGAGTCAGTCATCTCATAAATGGAGATGTGGGAAATAAGCAGCCACTCACATTCTTTTACACTCATCAACGCACAGTGACACACCTACCAACTGCAGCCTGGAAACAGCCCACTGTGAGCTCCAGTGGGAGAAAAATAGGAAAAATAGTTTCAGCTCGCTACACAGTGTGCTACACAACCCCTGACAACAGCACAGCAGTCTAACATACCAAAATACATAAACACGCTGCATATGTAATCAGCCAAATAAGTAAGCCTGATATTGTCACCGTTGGAACAAAACCTTGTTTTTTTTAGATAAATGGAAAAATGCCAGCTGCTGTTTAAAGTGTCAAAATTTTATGATAAACAAACCAATAGAAAGGGTCCAAAATGATATAGAATATAATTTTGTCAAGTTAACTTACATTTGAGAAGGAGAAATATACAGCTGCTCTATCGTGATACCCAGTCACTTTAGCTTGCGTGTAAAAATGTGTAAAAATCACAGCAGATCTTAACCCACGTTTGTGTAAAGCATTTCTGCAGCCGTAATGAGAGTAGCAGAAGTAGTGAGAGGAACTTGAGCACAGCAGGGTTAATGCTAACAGCTGATCAGAGGAGAGCGGATGCTGTAATCTGCCAGACACGATCAACAATTCTACAAAACTACACTAATAATAACAAATGTCAGTATGTTACAAATGTGTGAAATACCAATCTATCTGAGCATAACATTTTCTGTCAATCGATAAATGCCAAATTCAGGAATTTCATGTCATTACCTCATTCCTATCTGAGGGAGTTGGGGCATCCTGACCTGGGGCGGGGACTGGGCGGGAGTTCTGAGGACCCGTTGAACTCATCATTTTATCAGAGGGAGTTTCAGTTCTGGAGCTGCAATACCAACAGAAAACACACATTACTCTGTCTCTCTTTATTTCTCACGCACCTATTATAAAAATAATTACTACAAGGCAATGAGAGACCAATCATAATTCATTCTCTCTCACACATACCTACACACACACTGTTATTATAATTACAGCATAAAAATTGTGTCCCCATCTCTGCCTCTCTCACACACAAACAGGAAACACAAATTTCACAATACGTACACAATATGATTCCTCTGTGATACAGAATTAGAAAAAAACGCTAATAAATGCATTTATGTAGGTATGTAGGTATGTATGTATGTATGTGCGTATGTATGTGCGTATGTATGTGATTGAGCAGCTGGACGTAGGTCCGCTGCCAAGGAGATGTTGTTAAGTACGTCACTGAGAAGGTAGAGCTCTAGCTGATTTTAGCTTGAAGCAGAAAGAGTGGAAACACATTTCTCTAAAAATAACATGTTAGAAAACTGTGTTGTACTAAAAAGTAGTAAGCAAGTGCTACTATTGTGAAACGGAAGCATCTAAGAGCAACAACAGCTCAGCCACAAAGAAACAAACCATGCAAACTCACAGAGCACGACCAGCAAGTGCTGAAGCACATAGCTCATTGAAGCACATAGCTTTTGACTCAATGGAAAAAAAAAAATCCATAGCTTCATTTCAAAATCATGTTAAAAGCCTCTCCAGAAGAGTGGAGGCTGTTACAGCTGCAAAAGGGGGCCCAACTCCATGTTAATGCCCATGGTTTTGGAGTGAGATGTCCGACAAGCTCATGTAGGTGTGATGGTCAGGCGTCCACATACTTCTGAAAATATCAGCACTGCTTATCATATCATTAACTTCTCTTGCTTTCATGGGCTGCATAACCAAAACATTACCTCTCAGGTGACTCCTCAAAGATGCTGTGGCACTGTGACTCCTCCATCATTAGACTACGGCTCAGGTTTTGCCCACCAGGATACTGGAAGTTAGCGAACGAGTGTGACATGGGCGAAGCCTTGCCTGCGTCTGTGGTTCCGCCCCCTCCTCTCTTCTCCAGGCCTGAGAGGCCATAAGAGAGGCCATCCAGTGCTGGGTTGAGCGAGCGAGACATGTAGGTGTCGGCTGACTGCGGGCGGCGAAGGGGGGAGGCTGGGTAGGGCGACAATTTGCTGATTAGCGGGGTCAACAGGTCAGCGTAGGCTGCTTTGGCTGGCTTGACCAGGCGGTCTGTGTGGATGTTGAGGATTTTCTGCTCAAAGGCGCAGGAGAAGACACTGGGGGAAAGGTTTTGGAGCCAGGAGAGCAGGCTGAGGTCCAGATCGTCGCAGCCGTTTCCGCACAGCATGTCAATTCCTAGCAGAACTTCACCTTCTGTGATCTCCTCGCCCGTGGCTTTGCTCTGGCAGAACTCCACGCAGCACTCGTACAGGAGACCCTTAATTAGTAATTGGAAGAGGCGGTTACCGCTAGCCTTGAAGCCGGCCTCACTCAGCTTGCGGTCAGCCGGGATGAACTCTGCCACCATGGCGCAGGCTTCCTCGAAACACTGGACCCGCGCCGTGCTGGGGTTCCAGTCCTTGAACTCAGCGTGGTTGGTCAGTCGGGGCAGGGTCAGAAGCAGGCACAGCTTACTGTAGTCCTCCTTAGAGGGGCAGAACTCCTCCAGAGCGTGGAGGCATTTTACAGCTTCCTGCATGGTAAACTCCAGCTGTTTGGGTTCAAAGCGAAGAGAGAGACAAAGCGGTAAAGTGAGAGAGAGCGAGAGAGAAGGAAGGTAAACACAAAATGAAATTTCAACTTTACAGAGTTTAGCTTTACGATGTCTGTACAGACAAAAAGCTCTGCCATTACATCACACAGCAGTGAATCAGAGTGACAGTTCAGTGGCATAAATTCTACAGGCAGCAGTACTCACATGCTGCGGCTCATCCTCAGCTGACATGGCATTGTTCACACACAGCGCTTCCAGAAACTTCTGCTTCAGGACAATGTAGCGGAACCTAGGGGTTGGCAATATGGCAATAAATATTATATCCAATTATTCAAGACTTTTTCACGTTACACAATATGGATTACGATATTTAGTTCTTCTGAGATTAAGCTGTAACAGACACAAATAAAATCTATGTCACATTTAAAAAACAATAATAACAGTAATAAATATACAACCATGGTGTTTTTTCTATTTATTATGCTTACTTCGTAATAAAACATATAGTTAGTCAATACTGACAATAACCACTCAGAAAAGGGCACTGTGACATTCATGGTAACAATAAAATATCATCATGCGGAACCTGACATAAAATCAAAAGTCATTGGGAAAACATTCCAGTACCTGATCCAGTTACAATTACAAATGTATCAATACACAGTGCAGTTACAGTTACCACTGCCTCATTACCTGAAGCAGTGATCAGCAGAAACTGGCTATGGATTCTAGTCTGAATCTGGATTTGAGCATGCTATATTTAGTAAGAAAACATGCTAAGAACCCTGAGAGGAGACAGAGCTCACCTTTTCTTATCAAACTTGTCCATGCACTCCAGAGGCTGAATGAACTGCAGCACCTCATCCCACTGCCCATCAAGAATAAGCTGCCTGAGAGAGAAAGGCACAAATAGAAAGAGAGACAGATAGAGACAGAGAGATAGACAGAGAGATAGACAGAGAGTGAGAGTGAGAGAAAGGCAAGGGACAAAGCACGCAGACAGCCTCTTATTAACTCGGTATTCAAAAAGTACTATATATATATATATATATATATATATATACTATATATATATATATATAGAGAGAGAGAGAGAGAGAGCCAAACTGTTTATGTATCGGCAGATATGTACATGAAAAACACTGGATATCAGCATCAGCCTACAAATACCATATTACTGCATCCCTTCAACTATTACAATATTACATTTTTTGACATTTTGTTCACCCCTATGTGTAGAGCTGGGCAATATGACAAAAATATAATATCATAATACTGCAAGAACTTCATGTCACAACGTATTATTTCTGACATCTGTTGAGCAGGAAGAGACAAAGTAGTGCCACATATACAAAATACTAAAAACTATACATGCAATGATATTCAGCATTTTGCAAACTGTGCTGCACCAAATCTAATTAAACAGAACTAATTATGCTCTCTTTGTAGCAAAACATGCAGTTGGTCAGTGTTCTTTAAGCCCTGGCGCACCTATATGCACTTACACACTAAGAAAAACACACTGTGACATGCTGTGCTGTTTTTATCACAATACTGATAAAAAATTGTCACCTGTGTGTCTTCCTTGTAGAGAAAATTCCCAATAATTTTGCATTGCTCAGTGTGCTCCACTCATCCCAAGTCTGTTACCCTTTACAAATTAAGCAGCTAAGGGTCATTAGGTCTAATGAGTTTCTAAAATGGAAGTGCCAGATGAGGCACTCTGACCATTTTACAGCACCTGTCTGAATTTGTGAAGCCCTCACACCCCTAACACCAGCACAAACATACTCACTGTAAGCACACAAACCCCTCACACACTGCAGCTAGGGTCTAGGGTCTGCTCTCAGCTCTAATCTGACCTTTCTGCACTTCCAGCCTAGCGACAGTATCAGGACGGCAGCATGAATGGGTACTATTGTAAAAGTGCTGGCCCTCAACACTCACACAGCAACAGTGGGAGAGGCCCACACTGTCTCCAGTCTTTGGTATTCACTCACGCTAACACTGTAAACAAATAACAATGTGTGAATCAGGCCTCCTTCAAATTAAAAGTCCTCCTTCACATCTCCTCCCACTGCCTGCCATTGCTGATGAAGAAGAGACTTCACAACTAAGCTACTCCTTTTTTTTGGAAACTGAAGTACTATTCAGAAGGGATTAGTTATTCATGTGGAAGTGGGATAACGCCAGTTTACCACAGGACAACTGTAATGTTTATGACTGATTAGCACAGGATTAAAAATCGGTATGAGTGGCTACTGGATTCATGCAATACCTTTACTGTTAGTCCATTTAGCCTAGACATCTGTTTTGCTGTCTTAAGTGAATGCAGTGTCTCTTTAGCATTTCATTAGCTTGGGAATTCACAGCCAACAATCAATCAAACATTTTTCTAGAATTTTTACATTTTAACGTTCTCAGTTGTACACCTGAGGAGGACAATACACACTGGCTTGATTTTGGCCACAGAGAACACAAGTAAATGCTTCTTTAAGTGCCTCTATGCTTAAGAAACTCCTTTTCCATGGAATACAAATTGAATGCATTCTGTCTAACTGTTGATGGATGCAATGCTGTGCTAAAGAACATTACATCGCAGAAACTAATCTGTATGTAACCTATATGTAGCAAACAGTCTATTACCACAGACAACACCTGCTTTCTGTAATCAGTGAGTTTCAAGTCATTTTCTATACTTTTACTCACAGTAACAAAAACATATCACAATTACTGTGCACGGTAATCAACTGTACAACACAGATGGTGCAGATAAAAGACGGGTTTATACTCAGTTTGGAAAAAAAATTAAGTATTTCCTTTAAGAGGCTCATAAATCTCCAGTGTGCGAGTGAGATGAGCTTAGATGGATTGAGTGTAAGTCCAACCTGAGGAAAAGCATGTCATCTGAGTAGAGCCCATTTATCACTCCACTTTCCTTCTCCAGTGCTAACATGCTGATGTGCAGCTTCCGTGAGTTCAGGAAATCCAGGACCACCTTAATGATCTCCACCTCCTTCACATTAATGGTCTCCTCTGCTGTCATGGTGGCAGGCTGTTACGAAGAAAGAGGGAGAGAAAGTAAGGAAACCTGATAGAAAGAAAGGATAGTGCATAAAAGAGACAGAGAGAAGAGAGAACAGAATGAGAGACAGAAAGAGAGCAGTGTGGGGAAAACGAGAATAGAATGAATGAACAATAATTAAAGAAAAGAGAGCGAAAAAGAAAACAGTGAGATAGGGAGAGAGTGAAAGAAAAGAAAGAACAAAGTGGATGGAGAACAGAATAAGAGAGAAGGGGAAAATAATGAAAGAGCAACATTGACAGAGAAAACTTCTGTGTGAGAGCCGAAAAGCATGTTAAAGAGGAACTCCACCTATTTATCAAAAGTAATTCAATCTTTAGGATGTAAAGAAAGTCGTTCAGAGTGGTCCGATGTGTAACAGAGTCAGAACTGCCCACGGTTGTGACAAGAAGCAGATGTTTGAAGAGTTTAACACTTCTAAAACCTTCCTCCCACAACATTACTACACAAAATAGTCATGAATACACTAAAACATGGTTTTATGATGGTTTTTGAGAAGGTCTTGGCCTAAAACATATTTTTAAAAAGCCATTTGTGGCAGAGAGGTACATGCAAGGATTTGTAAGGCAAAATTATAGGAGTCCCAAACAGTCCTAAAAGAAAACTTAATATTTCAGAATTACCAGTATTTTACCATTATAAACATTAGCTACATATAACAACTCAGAAGACAAATGTAGGTAGAGTTTAGCCAGTGATGTGCAGGCATTTAAGACGAGCCCCACTCAGATTCACACAAACAGTGACAAAAAAAGGGAAAACAGACAAATGCTTAAATGTCTGCTAGACTTAAGAATATCATAAGGTGATACGTTCAAAAACAACAGTAGCCAGTAAATGAGAAATAAGAAAGCAAAATAAAGCATTTACATGTTTTATTTACATGGTTTATTAACTCTAGGAGACTAAGTTTTCTTGTATTGTACTTGTGATTAAGTCGATCTATTGTCTTCAGACATGTTACCTTAGTAGGACTGTAACGTTATAGTTTTTCAACTGAGAATTAAATGCCACAGTAATGTAAGCAAAGGCAATTTAATATTTGGAATGATGAATTTTCTAATTCAGGCTTCTTGTCCCACTATTTAAATATGTTTCTCACTCAAACAAAAGCATTCTGAGCTTCATAATCATTAGACCAGTCGTTTATTCAGGAAAACAGGCGGTATGTTAACCGATTAGAGTTGTAATCGTCAGCTGCAGCCCTACAGCAAAGAAATCTGACTCGGTAAGTTTCTCTATGGTGCACCATTTCACATCAAATCGAATGACTTTGTTGACATCCCGACAACTGAAATACGCAGCAGTTCTGAAGAGTCAGAGACATTAACCTCCCCTTTAAATACTTTTATCCCTGTATATTTTTATTTTTGTTACAGGACGGCACGCCTCTCAGACTGCTTCACATTTGGTCTATCACAAACGACTGATCCGTTTAATGAAGTAAACAGTCGGCATAACGCCCAATAAAACGAAACCAGGCTGCATCTGAAAAGAAAAACGAACCCCCCTAAAAATGCAGCCAACCCCCAGTTTTTCATAAACCAAGTGGGCCGGCGTGTCCCACCCAGCTGAGCTGCTAGCATCCGGAGCCTTTGCTTACTCACGCTTTCCCACCGCCTGCCTGCCTGCAGCTACCAGAAGCCCAACCTGCCAGTTACGGCTCTGTAACGGTGCTTTCTCCTCCATAACATGTACCAGCTCAGAACGAGCCTTGTAAGCACACGCTAGCCCGCTACAGTCACCCGAGAAATCCTGGCGACGAACGAAGACATCCCTCCAAATCCGCTGTGGCAGATTTAGATCAGTGAGAGGAGGATGGCTAACTAGCGATAAGCTAACTAAGCGGCATGAAGACAGACAGCGCTCGCTGGCTGCAGCCCAGCCTCGCCTCTACAGAGAGCGGAGGAATAACGGCGTTCAGCGGGGATTTAGAGCTCACCTGATAACGTCTACATATACACAAAGCACAGAGGTCCGCTCGGGGGTCACGGAGGTCGTGCTGTCACACGCCGTCCTGTGTTTTTCCTTTGGCTAATCTTTACTCGCTCTCTCTCTCCTCTTGTTGTCTCGCCTCTCCGCGCCGTTACCTCCCAGCTCTGGTTGTCAGGCGAACGTTTCCTCCGCCGAGCTCGACCAATCAGGGCCGAGTGCAGAGCGGCGTCGCTTCGAGAAGAAGCCCCGCCCACACAGAGCTGAGAAGTCTGATATTAGTTCCCACATTCCTCAGTGAGCTCACTTCAAACTGACACTCCCGACATCTGATCGATGCATTCCTACTCGTCGCCACAGCCTCTGAAGTGAGATTTACTGCTTTAAAGACAAGGATAACCCTCTTCTAATGCTGTGTCTTTAAGGTGGAAGTAAATTTGGGAAAGACTTATGTGCTCTGTGGTAGATGGGGTGGTCTGTTTGAAATTTGCTTTGCTAGCTAATTTTTAAACAGAATTATTCCTTTAATAAGGAAGTTTGACCACCATCATCAGTAATGCTAGCTTGCACCAGGGATGTAGTTTATTGGCCTTGACATCAGTGGCTAGCAAGCAGGCTCCCTAGTTGAGCACTGTAGGCATTCCCAATTATATATTAATGTAATGCATGCTGGGTATTGTAGTCAGAGAACAGTGATGGACAAAAACGATCTAAAATTGTGAATTCTGTCAACTGGCCATAGGACACAATGTTGCGCTATAGAATTTTACATAACATAACAAATAACACTAAATACTAGTTTTAGGCCAGGATGCCCCTTTAATGGGCCCATATCCTACATTTTTCTTGTATATATTTTTCCCCTGGTTTCCACTTATGCCATTTGTGTGGGTTTATGTGCCAAAAAATGTCTTAATCCTTTTTTGTACATGACAATTTTCCAACCTTTCCTTGTCCCTTACAATTAAAAAGTTTTTGTTGCTGTGCCTTTAAGACTGATATATGTAAATGAGCTCTGTTCTGACTGGCTGCTTTGTTTTTTCCCTTTTTAAAAACAGTCTGGGCAAAAACACTCCTTACAACTTCAACATGAATAGGGCGCATATATGTAAATACGTTGGCTTCATAACATCACATGAGTTAATAGTTCCTTATGAAACAATGTTAACGTACACTCTTAAATAAGATGGTTCTTCAAGGGTTCTTTAGTAAAGAAAATTGTTCTATATAGAACCATAACACTCAAAGAACCCTTTGCAGGATTAAATGGTTCTTTGTATGGTGAAATGGTTCTTCAGATTCATGGAGAATGTGCTTTAGAGGGTTCTATATAGAACCATTTTGAAAATGACTCTATATAGCACCAAAAAGGGTTCTTCTGTTGTTACAAGCTAGACATCATAATAATAGAAGAACATTTTTTGGTGCTATATAGAACCCCTTTTTAAAAAGGTTCTATATAGAACCGTCTGCAGTACATTCTCCATCAATCTGAAGAACCCTTTTATGATGCACAGAACCCTTTAATTATGCAAAGGGTTCTTTGAGTGTTCATGGTTCTATTTAGAACCATTTTCTTTACTAAAGAACCCTTGAAAGACCATCCATTTTAAGGTTGTACAGACTCTTTCACTTTGGAAAAGCAAGAGAAGTGTGGTTTACCACTGTATGGGCTCTTTAATAGCACAGCCTCTTCACATTTCTGAGATTGCAGCTCATTTTAGATGTTAAGTTTTTAGATCAAAGCTGCCTCCAAAAAATTGTAATATGTAATAAACTCCTCAATTTAATGTTGTTAGTTGACAAATTTTAGCTGTTGCAAGACCTACACTTCTCCACTGGTTAGGGAAAAAAAACTTTTGACCCATTTCCTCAACAATTTGCATTATAATGTTAATAAAAACACATTTTCCAAATAACAACACTGTATAGCCTGTGGTGGGGTGGACGTTTAGGGGATTTTTTATTTTTCGGAGCACAGGCCACCTACAGAAGCCCATTCCTGCCTTTGATATTTTTACTCTCCATTTCTGGCAACAGAATGCAAAACAATTGACTAATAATAGCTTATCATACCAAAATAATTGCTTACTTTTTTAAAATTGAATAATTCATTATTTCAGTCGGCGGCGCAGTGGCGCAGTGGGTAGCGCTGTCGCCTCACAGCAAGAATGGCCTGGGTTTGATTCCTGGCTGGGTGACCAGGGTCATTTCTGTGTGGAGTTTGCCTGTTCTCCCCGTGTCTGCGTGGGTTTCCTCCGGGTACTCCGGTTTCCTCCCACAGTCCAAAAATATGCAGTCAGGCTGATTGGACATGCTGAATTGCCCCTAGGTGTGACTGTGTATGTCTGTCCGTCTACCCTGAGATGGACTGGCGACCTGTCCAGGGTGTGTCATACCTTCTGCCCAATGACGGGTGGGATGGGCTCCAGCATCCCACCGTGACCCAGAAGGATAAGCGGTTTAGATGATGTATGTATGTATAATTCATTATTTCAACATAGTATGTCAGAGTTTCTTCTTAATAACTCAAAATCTTGAGAAAGGAAGTCAATAGTTTGAGAAAATAAATCATAATTTTAAGATAGTAAGTCATTATTTAAAAAAAATAAGTATGTTTTAAGATACTATGTTATTTTGAAAAAATAAGTCATTATTATGAGATACTACATCAATATTTTGACATGCTGTCATAAACTGAGGAGGCTTAGCTTCATTATGTGAGCTGTAGCTGACATTAGAACAGACAACTTGAGTTCACTCATCCAAATTTTCTTTTTCTAGCTTTTTCTTTTTAGAAAAATGTATGTTTACATCTTCATAGCACCAGCTTGGCTGCTTTAAAGTACATAAAGAGGGTGCTAAGGTAAATAAATACTGAGCAATATTGACTGTTGATGCTAACAGAGATTTAGGGAGTGTCCTGTTCCAGTGTAGAGATTTGCTTCTATGAGAGAAATGAAAAGCAGATGTAAATGAGTAGATCTAGCAATCAGAAACCATGGCTTAGGAAGAAATAATCTATCAAAATAATCCCCATAAAATCCCTAAATTAGTCTGTGTAGCCCTATACTATCTACTTCGACATCTGGATATCAGTTTAATCCCCGGAATCACAAAGAATTAAAAAAATAAAGTCATTTTAAAAGCCTATTTTCATGACATTTTCATCTTATTAATTCTAAATCCTAATCAGTTCAGCAGGCATTTATCAGGCTGGTAAAATTGACTAATTAACAAAATCATAACATTACAATATTGTTGCATTACAGGGGAATTTCATCAATTTTTAAAATTATCTTCATATCATTATGATGTAAACAAAGTCATTCAATGTGAAAAATTTGCCAAGTTAGTATTGGTCACAGTGGTAGTGATAGGAACCAGACGTCTGAAGAGTTAATGCCTCTAAAATCTACATCACTGAAAGTTGTTACACAAAATGTTTATGAATACGCTGCCTAATGCCCGAGATATTGTTAACAATAGGTCAATGGTAGAGATGGAAACTATATAGCCAAAAGTATGTGGACACCTGACCAAAACCATGAGTTGCCCCACCACTTTGCAACTATCACAGCTTCCACTCCTCTGGGGAAGCTTTCCACAAGATTTTGAGTGTGTCTGTGGAAATCTGTACCCATTAATTCAAAAATGCATTTGGTCAAGCACTGATTTTGGACGAGAAGCCTGGCTCACATTCAATGATCCAATTCATCCCAGAGGTGTTAAATGAGGTTGAAGTCAGGGCTCTGTGCAGGCCACTGGAGTTCCTCCACACCAAACTCGACCTCGCTTTGTGAAGAGGCGCACAGTCATGCTGGTACAGGAAAGGGTCTTCCACAAAGTTGCCACAAAGTTGGAAGTAACTGTCTACAATGTCTTCATATGCTGTAGCATTAACATTACCCTTCACTAGAACTTAAGGGCCAAACCCAAACCCTGAAACAACCCCAGACGATTATTCCTCCTCCACCAAACTTTACCGTTGGCATTCTATGCCAGTGCTACATTCAAAGTGACCGAGATCTTCAATTTCAGCTATTCTACTGCCAGTGTTTGTCTATGGAGATTGCATGGCTATGTGCTTGATTTTATACAGCTGTTAGCAATGGGAATGGCTGAAACACCTGAATCAATTAGGAGGCTTATCCGCATACTTTGGCCATAGTGTACATGCAGGGCATTATAAGGCAAAACAGTCCTTAAAGAAAATCTTTTTTAAATATAACACTGTTTCACATTTATCAACATTTGGCATTATCAACATCTGACATTGTGATCCACTCTGAATGACCTGGTGGAATTTACCTTTAATAAAAATAATAATAATAATAATAATAATAGCACCACCAAAGCAATGTTTGGATGAAAATCTGTATTTGTGTAGGCCTAAAGGTTAACAGATATTCAGATAGGACGCGACATACAGCACATAGGCAATGATAAATACGCATAGACGACAGAAGAGGAGATGTAGTGAACTGAACTGAATAAAAGAAAACGTTCAGATGTTCAACACTGTACTCTCATTGCACTGTAGCTTCTTCCACAGCCAACACTAGCAACATTTACTCATAACACTTTGCAAGTTTAAAGCATTTCCTTGTTCATATGAAAAATATCATTAATAATCAATGGCTTTAAAAATATGCTTAACATGTAAAACTATATATATACAGCTTTTAATAAATCTGATGGATGAATTTCTTCAGCTAATAAAAATAAAAACATCTTTCAGTTCATTTGAACCTGAAGAAAGAAAAAAATAGTGTTATCAGACAAAAAAGCCTGTAAAAATGTAACAGCTCCTGGAAATGTCGTTTATACTTAATATGAATAAGCAGGTTACTTCGCAACAATATAGGCAGCATCTATACGGAAGCATCGTAATATTATATTCAATAATTATACGCTCTGGTTTTAATACTAACTTGTCAATGTAAACTACTGCAACTGGCAGCTGAACTGCACTGTGTTTCTAAAAGAAGGTTACCAGTATGTTTTAAACATACTTTACGTTAACGTTAACACTTCGGAGACTGTTACACAATCATGGCGAGGTTCACGTGAATGATGTAGTGTTACAGTCCAGCAGCTGAAACTGTTAGGTCCGTGCTGATTTCCTTAAAATGACGAAAGGCCACAGGACAACATGTAGAAGCCAGACAAAGGATTTCTGCTTTCAGCTCAACATGATAGCCATTATATACACACACATACATACACTGCTCATAGTCATATGCACCACTGTCAGGGAAATTATGATATTTATCAAAATATAAATAAATTCATAGAGTAAGACAAAAATAACAATTCATAAACATGTGACCTTCTTAAAACTGAAATTAGGCTACGTTCACATTTCAGTACACATTACATTATTCTGATGTTTTGCTCAGATCCGATCTGTCTGCTTGAGCGCTTCAAGTTTATAAGGTCTTGTTCAGGCAAGCAGCTCAAATTAGATTTTCTGCATCTGAACAGCAAAAAAGCCACACGAAAACAGACTTTTTCAAATCGAATTCAAGCCACATTTGTAGGCGGCATCAAATCTGATTTCTGGATGTGTGACTCAGTTAGACGGTTCAGACGGATTTCATGCGTTTTTTTTGAGTGAGGCTGTTCAGATGTCAGAATGTACATCAAGAAAGGCAGCTGTGCATATTCACATATAACAGATTAAACAGGGAGAGCAGAAGGTTTTGGCAGCAATTTAGGGAACATTTTTTACTCTGTAGATCTGTTGTGAACAGATGTCTAACAGCTAGTTATCAGTGTTAGGTGTTAGTCAGCATGTGTCACAACCAATGTGAACAAATGCAACTACAGCCTGAATGTACAAATCAGATTTGGTCACTTATAACTTGAAAGACGCGGTCAATAAAGTCAGATACAAGAAACAAATCTGATTTGCCCTGAAAAGTAAATGAAGCCTAAGAGACCCGTCTTTGTCTCTAGTGTGAATAACTGAGTCTGCATGTATACATTTATTCATCATTAGCCCTTTTTAGTTGACACTGGATAAGGACAACGGTCGTAGTACTTCATCTATTCCAATCCAAATGTTTTCAGTACAGCCATATATCAGATATGTATCTGATCTAGAAGAACATGTGAAAGGTGGCACAAATCCAATTTTGAATCATCAATCATTATAATCCCGGATCCGATGTTTTCAGAGTAGTGTAATTGTTTAAAAGATCTGAGTCACTTTGGCTACATTCAGACTGCAGCTAAAAGTGGCCCGAATCCGATTTACTGCTCAAATCTGGTTTTGTTTGGTTGGTTTGGTTCTGTTTGTTTGATTTAGAAAGCACCGTGTGTATTTGTTTACAATGCCCACGCTCACCTCGCTCATCCTCCAAAACTAAAGATGTGAAGTGTAACTATAGGAATAGATGTTTTGATGATGTTGCCATCATGGGCCTGTTTTAGTGAACACGAAATTATGATGAGGATTGAGATAGATTAACGGAAAAGTCACATCAATTCCAATCTGACTGTTCAGATAGAGGTTACATTGCTTTATACTGTATATGCATCAGATTTCAGTACCACATATGAAAGTGGCCCAAATTTGAACTGGAAACATCAGATTCATTGTATTTTTTGCTGTACACACTGATATACAAAATACACATATGAAACATATAAGAGTAAAAGATTAGATTTAAGACCAATTTTACCTGTAGTCTGAACGCAGCCTTTCATATATGGTCCTAGATTGGATTTGTGGTCCATCCTAATGAGAACAATGAAAAAGCACCGAAGCCAAGGTGAATCAGGAATCATACTATATTTAGTTTGTGACATACTTCTGAGTGATATTAAGTGGTATTAGGGGTCTCCGCACTAGTGTTTTCATTTGATGATAGGTGGGTGTGGTGGGAGCAGTTGATATTATTTGTCCAGGCCTGATGGTGCATGTTGACATAAGCAAAACTCAGAAAACATTTTCAAGGAGGGTAGACGTCAGTGCATTTTGAAGGAAGATTTTGAATTTTGTCTTTTAATAGTAAACAGGGGAAAAGAAAGTCAGTTTCGATTTCAGGTTGACTTTAATGCATCTCGTCCTAATCATGAACAGCTGAGAGCTGTTCAGAGCAAATACTGTTTGTGATAAAAGGCTTGTACTTCTAGTTTGTTCATGAGGTTTGATTCTTGCGAAGTTGATTAGGATGTGTGCATGCAGTTCTTTTCAGGGCACAGATATGGGTCACTTAAACATGGGAATGTTAACTGACAAGGCAGAAAGATTGCATATGAGCAATAAATCTGAATTAATTAAGGTTTGTAATGTGAACGTAGCTCTGGTGTCTGGGCTGTTCCCTCAGCATAGACTACACAGGCTGTTTAATGATGAAATAACATTGGCATTGCAATTTAGACCCAGGCTACTTCATATCTGAAAAATAGGCCTCAACATATCTTCTCTGTCTCATGATCATGTGCACAAATCTCAATTAGCCCTAAATAAATCATTGGCTTGTTCATAAAACTCAAGAGTGCACTGTGGGTCATTAAAAAGCAGGCATAAATGTTGAAACAAGACAAGCGTAAGGCCACGAAAGTTTAAAGTGTTTAAAATAAGAACAAAGGTGAGCAACCTATGCTGCTTTTTTGTTTCTCAGGAACAAATGCTACAACCTTTATATTTGGCACACGCACACATACACACACGTGTACACACACACACACGCACACACCACATGCAGACAGATGAACCATGTGTGCCAGCTAATATTGACGTTATGTTCGCTGCATGACATGGACCTCAAAATCCATCTTTTAATCTTGACATTCAAGCTGTGCGTAACATTGGAACTCTTCCGTAATCCTGTAATTCCTGTCACTCTTGGAGGAACAAGCTAAACGATGATGGCGCAAAAGTGTCCAAAATCCTCATCGGAACTCCAGTGAGGTGTGTAGTGAGTGTCTGGTTGCTCTCTGCGGGGCTCATTTGAGCAGTTTTTTGGGCGTACTCTGTTTCTTGTACTGCCAGAGGTGGCTGTAGATGGTGATGGCGTCGATGCTAGCGGACATGGTCTTGGCAGGGATGTGGCAGAACTGCTTCTTATCTGAGCTGTATTTGTACAAGTTCTCGATCATCTTAGGCGTGATGGCTTTCGGGCCAATGCCTGCCAGCTTGCTGATCTCCTGTGTCTCCGGGTAGTACGTGTAGAGCGCACGGAACTGGCAACCCGAATCCCGGAACAGGATCAGGAAGTTGTTAGATTCCGTCTTCTCCATTTCCTAGAAGATGAGAGGAAACAATTCAGATCTTTCTGAAGGAATGACAGCAAGTCTCTCTGCCATATGCACATGTTCAATGTCCCCATTAAAGGGGAATTTCAGTGGATGTTTTCTAAATATCTACATAATTCAATGGTTAAGTCAGAGTGAGAATTGTTCACAGCAGTGATGACGGAAACCAGACGTCCAAAGCATTTAATGCCTCTAAAAGCTACATTATTGAACGCTACTACACACACCCTCACAGAAGAGTCACATGAATTTCACATGTGAATGAAACATCAGGTTTTTCATGTTAAAACTGATATCACATGAAAAAATGTGATCATGTAAAAAAAAAAAAGTGTGATTATTTGTAAACATGGTTTTTGCACACTTGTGAAATATATGTGACTTTTCTGTAATTGAATGGTTACAAATACACTTTCTGATGCCTGAGACATTGTTTTAAGATAGTTCCGAGAAAAGCTTTTGGCTTAAAATGTATATTTTTTAAATCCATTCATGGTGCAAAGATACATGCACGATGAAATATTTCAACATTATCAACACTACATACAATAACTCAACATGGTTCATTGGTGATTTTGGACAGCAGGTAAAATGACTATTTGCGTTGTAGACATGGTGATCCCTGTTTTCTAATTGGAGTCAATAAGTTTGTCTAGAATAAAGCATTTTACATGAAACTACTCTGACTGACTTTACATCTCAACGACAGCAAACAGCAAAGATACAGAGCGCGCCCGAGTTCCACACACTCCTGTCTCCTTGTAGATCGATCATTTTGAATATCACTTCTCATTGTCTGTGAAACTACATGCCCTCTTTGAATAGCACAGAGATGTAGCAATCGATAGTTTGGTAGATGCACACTGCCTGGGATTCTCCTTCAACAAAACAGACAGTTTCCTCCAAGTCCGTCTGGTTCTTTCATCCAAATAAACAGTTTCCTGCTCAGCCGTTTCTTATACTAATAACTGTGGTGCTGACTAATAACCAATGCATTTTTGCTTCAACAATTTTTGGTATTCTTAATAAAACCAAACAGGTGATATTTACACACCTAACAGCTTGGCTATGTCTCTCTGACTATTTCAGCTTCATAAGGGCCTGTTTTACATTGACACTTATTTGGTGCTCATGTTGAGAGACGACAGTAACAGACTCCAACACGTGCCAATAAAACATCTATAAACTTTGTTTTATCTCTAGTGACTGAATACTGATGTAGCAGCACACAGCTGGCCAGAAATGCTGCAGAAAAATCACTTCATTTTTCAGATGTGCATGCACAGTGTTGTTTAAATGAAAAGAGGTTTGATAATGCATTTACTATTGATTTAAGATTCAATTTGACTCTCCAACATGTGTGCAGTAGCTTGCTCACTTCGCTTGATTGTGAATAACACTGTAACTACTAAAGGCTGCTTTTATGCTTTCCGCATCAACAAGTTAGTATAAACCAGCTTTAATATCGGTTTATACCAGAAATGGCACAACATGGTCAAAACTGAACAGGGCTTGACCAATACTGATCCACTAAATTTATACCGGGATCAGTTCTGATACAGATATGGGCAACCCTACTATTTTCTCTTTGAAGAGTGGTGAACTTTGAGGAAGTTTGAGTAAAAACATTTTTTCCACTGTCATGTTTTCTGAGCACAGCGCTTGGTCTCTTGGTGGCTGGTCCCCTGAAAGCTCCCTCCCCCTGGAAACCGGCAGTCTATACTTTACTATACTCAGTGCTTTATTTAAAACTACATACGGATCTGCAATGTTTCAGACAAATAAACATGAACAGTACACGTGTGCATTCAATAACCCTCAAAATGGTCAAGCATCTTTCTACATGAACTGTTAGGCCTGTTACACATACTACCTCTGTGTGGTGTAAGCGGAATAGCTTGCTTTTCATTTCAGTGCTCATGTAAACAGGTCAGAGCGTTCACACAGTAACATACAGCAAAATAAACTAAGAAAAACACTGAGAACACAATAAAAAAAACTAAATCATGGTCTAAAGTTTTTTGTTCTACATACACATTTTCCAGTAGATGTACAGGTTTGAAACAAGTGCCCAATCACAAGTCAGAAAACTGCTGAGGGTAAAGAAATATAAGCTGCTCTTTCATACAAATTATCTTTTTATTAAGAAAACTAAAGTAACTGATTTGACTGAACTGTTCCAAAGTGCAAACACTGTATGCATGAATAGACAATGTGTCCAAGCTGCAGCAGGTACGTTGGCACATCCCTCATGTCACACGGAGGTAGTATGTGTGAAACAGGCCTTAGTGTACTGTTACTGTACAGCAGAACTGTGGCTAGCTCCTGACCTCCAGTATCTTGTTCTTCTGTCCCTCGTTGACTTTGCCTGCCAGGCAGCAGTGGGCCAGAGCGTTCTGGATGATGTACTTGTTAGACTTGGCACTGGGCTCCTTGTAAAGTTTCGGCCCTATTTAGGAAGAGATAGTAGAGATTATCAGTATTCTGTTGCATTCATGCATCAACATAAAATATTGCTCATAACTGAATTAGAATAAACTTACTACACATATCCAAATATCATAAATGCTCAACTGCACATAAAGAAGGCTCTATGTGAGTATGAAAAAGAATAGCAGGCTTTGTGCACCTGTGTATTCTGTGTTGGATGCTGCTGATGATGTCGTTGATTCATTCTCCCAGTTCTCCCCATTCCTGTTTACTGACGGACATGGAGACAACTGACCTTCTGCAGATTCTGGCCTGTGGATGGACACAAAGACTTTCTTAAATACTGGATTATTTATTTAGTGGATGGATATAAGGATTAGGAGCTGTTGCAGCACTTCATCTTACAATTCACTACAACCAGACACACAGCCAAACATTTAGGAGCATTATAAAGGTTAGCATGAATAAGGAGCCATCACATATGTTAGCATGTTAAAGCCAGAAATCAGTACTAGGTAAGCATGGAAAAGCCAGCAGCAAGTTAGCATGGAAATAGCATATTAGAACCTCACTGTTGCAAAAGAAGCAGCTGAATCAAGCATGAATGGCCTGATGTGAAAGCTGGAAGCAGGTGTTCCACCAATTATGATACAGCTAACTGCTATAACTCAAGGGGTGCTTACATACGTGTTTGTGTATGCATTGGTTTGTATGGTCTCTCTCATTTTCTACATTTCTACATTGTCTCTTTAATGGGGCATTACTGCCCCCTGCTGTTTGCATTTAAAACATAGGCTAGCGATGAAAGAATTAAATGATGCACATTGCAGGCTGTACAATGTAACGTGCCAGTTCACCCCCATATTCATTTACTTAACACTATGTTAGAATTCCAAATGATTAACTGACAGAAAGACAAAACTACTGGTTTGGGAAGTGTCTTCCCAAAACTGACTACAAAGTCTGATGTGCAGATTACATCACTATTTCCATTTCCACAAAGCAGTGCTGACACCAATCAACTGACCATTTGCAAAACTGCTATTTGCAAAATTTACGTCTAATAAGGTGGAGTGTTTAACTCCTGGTTTGGTGTGGAGGAGCTGCCTCTTCAGATGAGGGAATTCTAACACTGAAGCTAGTCGGAGCAACGTAAGATGCTGAGGAGGACTCATCATCTTTTACATGAGGTTTTTAAGCAAACTTTAATGAAACAGTACAGAGAACTGCATGTATGATTCATATTAATCTTCCCAATTTACATTAATATTCATCTTCACACAATGTTTTTAATCACAAATGTAAGTGCTGTACAGTTCTGTTTAATCTTACTGATTTAACAAGCTGTAAGCAGTTAAATTAAAAAAGTTAGCTTGTTACCTTACTGATGATTTTTTTTTAATGTTATTTATTGTTAGACATCATATTAAAATTATTTTTAGCAAATACAAATTTTGACTTTCCTTAGTCAGCACAATTGTTTAGTAACATTACAAGTTAGACACTGAGCTAAGTGCTGTCTTCCACATACTTCAATGTAAACCTGTTTCATCTTCAGGAATGAAATAAAAAAACAGCTCTGTCCTCAAGATGACCAGGACAGCGTGTGTCAAGAAGTATACGTTCCTCAGTAACTTTTTTCCACCATTTCTTAATTTCATAATTTTGACTCATTTATTGACACCACTGTTCTCACTGCAGGTAGTGTTTAGAGACAACTGTAATTGGCTGAGAGGCGTGTCAGTCATATTTGCAAAGGGTTAATTGTATTTTAATCTTTACTTTTCTATGGCTTAGAAAAATGTTCTGCAATTATATTGTACTTTTGAATGCAACAAGCTGGAGGGTCTGATTGCATCTGTTTGCCTTTTGCCAGCCACCAACCTGACCAAACAAAGGGCAAATTATTCCATATGTAGGGGTGAGTGCCTTGTTTTGTTCATTCTTTTTTTCCTATTTTTTTTTTTTTTAAGACTGTGTGGGTGTTTGCTTGGCTCTAAAACTTTTCTTTGACCATACCACATTTTAAGATCATTCAGATTGATGAAACCAAGGCAAAACACAATCTTATCTGAGTTGGACTGATGATGGTTTTATATACGGCCTCTTTAATTTTATGCCTAGACCCTTGAGATCATACCAGAAACATTCCGTTTTTTTTAGCTGTTTATTAAGCAGCTGTGCTGGTATGAAAGTACTGCAATTACAATTTAGTGCTATTAGAATTAACAATGGATAGTTCCGTGTTTGACTGGCGGCCTGTCCTGGGTATATCCTGCCTTCTGCCCTTCTGACGGCTGGGATAGACTCCAGCAGCCCCCCTGCGACCCACAAGGATAAGCGGTTTAGAAGAAGATGTAGTTCCATGTGTTACATGAATAAAATGTTGCGTGATTAATGTGGAGAACAAAAAATACTAAGATGAAAGATGGACTCAATAAAAACAAATAGGCAGTAACATCTAACACTATCAGTTTGCTGAACTGGCAGCGATGCGGCGGTCTGGTCCAAACTGAGGGAACTGACCTGGCCTTCCCCCCTTTAGGAGAGGTCAGAAAGAAACACAGATTGCCTGGCGACAGTTTACTGCGTCTGCCACAGCATGCAGGAGAGGAGTAGAGATGCCAGGGAGAAAAGTCAGACAGGAAGTGACAGAGGAGAGAAATGTCAGACAGGAAGTGACAGAGGACAGTGACATCAGTTAGGAAGTTAAGGGAGAAAGATATCCAACAGAAAATGACAAAGGAGAGTGATATCAGACAGAATATAAGAGGAGAATTTAGGGGAGACTTTAACATACAGGGATTTAGAGTAAACAAAGTATTTTAAGAAAAAGGAAAACTTTAATATGTTAAAAAACAAAAAAAAAAAACAAATGAAATTCCAAGTGGCTTCTCAAAAAGCCTCACTCTGGGGAAGACTTTAAGCTCATGTAACCATAAATTAGACAAACTTGTAATTAAAACTGCCCTGCAGGGACATACTACAAACATGAGCTGCTATACTTTTCAGATAGGTGACAAACCCAGCTAAGGTGGTCCAGGACCACAAAAGCTTACCTGGACGTTCTCTTGTCTGACTGGACACTCTCATTGTCCGCCAGGTTAAGTGAGGCAAGTGATATGCTGGAGACAGAGAATCCGCGAGGTCGAGATCCTGGAGAAGAAATAAGATTGTATACATAAAACAAGGACCCAAATCAGTTGTTTAAAAATAGCCGAACTATATTTTTTCTAAAAATGAATAAACAAACACAAAATATTGAAAAAAACAAACACTGTACTGTAAAAAGATACATTCATATGCAAATGTTTGATAGCCTTGGCTGATCAAATGATGTTTTGTTTATTTTTTTATTAGATTTTCATGAGAAAATCAATACTGCAGAGCTGACTTTGCTAAACCTATCTGAGTTTCAACAACCTATTTGATTCGAGCTTGAACGCCAGCATGAAAGCTGCGCACTAGAGCTATTATAATACCTGTGCTTGAATTAGGCCTTCCTGTCTGACTAAATAATTGTGATGAACAATTTCATTTTGCTGAAGCTCAAATAAACAAACATTACTCACTGCCCTCTACAGGTGTTAAAGCACCAGCCAGAATTTAAAACTGGTTTTCTTAATGTTCCTGAGATCTCAATAAATACATTTTCTGCTTTCTTTTGCTTACATGTTTTTGTCTCAGCTGAACTGATAAAAACACACCCAATTCACATTTTGTTTGTTGCAACGTAAACATAAGTTTGTGAAAGCTAACAACTGTGGGGAATAATAACAGTCAGCTCAAATAACTGCGATCAGTTCAAATAATGAAATACATTTCCTCTAATCTACAGTAAGCCTGAGCTTTCAGATTTTTCCAATGTTTCTGTAGGTTTTCTGGGTTTCTGAGTAGCTGTTGTACCTGTGTTTGTCCGTGTAGGGGGTTTGGGAGACTCCATAATGTCTCTGTGCATAGACTTGGGCCGGGGCTTCTTTTGCTTGACGCTTGGGGTGCGGGGCCTGATGACACTGTCCATGTCCTCCATCAGTTTCAGCTGCTTCCTCCTCAAATATTCATTTTTGATAAACTCTCGTCTCGCCTTCTCTTCCTCTTTCTTCTGACGTTCCTCCTCTGCTTTCAATCTGAAACAGATTCCCCAAACAGAGATTTACCCAAAGTGTGTTAAAGCAGAGAGGTGCTCACTGAATTTTGATGCTTTACTGAACCGACAGAATCACTCCACATCATTGAACATCTCATTTCAATATGTAACTAGTCAGTCTTATTAGTGTTAGTGAGCCAATATCTAGACTGCTGATTGTCTAAATTACATTCTCTATGCATGTTAATAATGTGAGCTCTTCTTGATTAGTCTGTGATCCATTACAGCCAGTATATATACCCAGTTCCAGCACCTCACACTTATTTCTAATTAAAGTATCAGTATTGGTATTAAACATTTTTGAAAGATATCCAGCCTTAGTGCTCACAAGCCCAGCACTTAGAACAACTGGACTGAGCATAGTTTCAGGAGTAAGTTTTGAGGCTAGATTTGTGGGTGACTAACTAATTAACTTCTGCACAGAGTTTAAACTAACTTTGCCACTTCCTTCTTCTGCTCCATCTCTTGCTCCTGCTGTTGTTTTTTCATCTGCGTCTCTTTCTCTCTCCTCAGCCTCTTCTCCAGCAGAGCCGCCCTCTTCTGCGCAATGTCTTCCTCACCTTTCTGGTCATCCTGAACACAAATGAATGGGCACAAAATTGACTGATCTACAAATAAATGAGCCTGAATTGAAACACACAGAGATGTAAAGACATTCTAAAAGAGGAAACAAAACACACACAGCAGTAAAATGCATAAGCCAGAACATGCCCAGGGTGTAGAAACATAAAGTACTGTGCAAAGGTCAGAGACCACCCTTCATTTATTTTATTTTCAGTCAAAATGACCATTAAGTAAAAGTTTTGTTTTACATTTGTGAGGAGATTAGTTATAAGATAGTTAATCCACATGCATAAGAAAGCAAAATAAGTGAAAAAAATAAGAGTTTCCAAAACTAGAGTTCCAAAAAAAAACAAATATTAAAAAAGATATAGACAACAACTGTAAGACCTGGGAGACCCCCTAAACCGTCATCATTAGATTAACAGCACTTAAAGCTTTCATCTTTGGGAGGTAGAGAGAAAATCAAGCTCCACTCTTGCTTCAGATCAGAAAAGATCCAGAGGCGTAGATTGAGTTGTCTCTCCACTTTGAGAAGACACAGAAAAATGAATAACTTGTATTTAATCGCTGTTTTGACTGGAAATTAAATGAAGGGTGAATGTTGTAAGCATCCAACCCTGAGTCAAAAGACAATAATACATAAATTTCAACACAGAGATACAAACACAATCACTCAGATGAGCCACACTTCAGCACACAGAAGTATAAATACATCAGTAGCTAGATTTCCATCCACATGCACATTTTGACATTCGATTTAAGATATACTTTTTTGCAGATAAAAATGTGATGCAACAGAAATACATTGAGAATAATAATATTTAGAATAATAAAAGATAACAAACCAAAATAAAAAATGACAAACAACTGAAGAATGTCTTGCAAAGTAAGGATACACAATTAGTGGGAAAATGTGCAGAAAAGCCTCTTTATTAACTTTTTTGATACACTTGCAGCCGTGCAGCCTCACAGAGCTGACGTAGTGATGCCAACTCTTTAGTGAACATCACAGGCTTTAGGTCCAATGTCTATGAGACCAGAGGCTATGGGGCCAGAGTTCAGAGATTTAGACTGGGCAACTGACAGAGTCTACAAGAGGAATGGGGAACTCTGTTCTTGGTGAGCCTGATTCCTGCACGATTTGATGTTCTTCTTGCTCAAGCACACCTGAGGGGTTATTTATTAAGTTCAGTTATTGTGACAGCAGACAAACCAGCAAACTACACTGGCCTCTGGCTCTGAGTTCCATACCCCTGTTCTATATGACAACAGCCTGGTGCCCCCACGCTCTACATACTTTTGTGTTTTTCCTACTCTTGCATGTAAACGTGGCCACTTTTACTTATTTTTATAAAACATTTAAGCACTGGATGTCAGGTGATGCTGTTATATCTGTTCACATCCAACAGATGACAGTCTTGGTGCGGCTGTGCTTGCCTTCCTTAATCTCTAGCAAACAAAGCTCATATGAGTTCTAATAAGTATAAAACAGCAGGAAACAAAACAGGGATTTCTGCTTCTCTATCAAAGACAGTTTGATTTCTGTTGTCATTCGTTTATAGACCCTTGTTGGACAGTATTCTGGTATTGTTGTTACAGGTGATTATGTTCAGTTTTTTCTGTCGCTTGTTTGCTTAAAGATTTTAATACAAAATTAAGCATTAAGCATTTCTTTTCTTTAAATATTCCACAGTGAATCTGTTCAGTCAAGCAAGTCAGTCAGTCAGTCAGTCTCTTCCTTAACGTCAAACATCCTTAACCCTTTAAATGCCCAGGTCCAAGTTTCCACTCATCACATTTACAATTCACAGTTTTGCAGCCCAAATGTACTACACTGCTTCTTCTGGTGTTCTTTAGTAAAGCCAATGGCTCTATATAGAGCTATGAACAAAGAACCATTTGAATTGTTCTGATTAGCACATCTCAAACATACAAGTTGATGTAAATGAAGAGTTTTATTCAGTAACATTTGACCTTATACACCTAAAAATAATCAACGTAAGGTTTCATCCATTTTGTGTTTGTTTTAAACACATTTATTTACTTTTAAACAGTTTTGTATTAATAAAGTGGATGCATTCAAAATTTAGATGTCAATTAATCTGTAGTAATTTGCATATTTCAATACAATGCATACTAGATGTTCGGACAGTGACAAGTATTTTTAGGTTTTTACCACTATTGAGCAGTACTGTGATGCTGATATTGCTATTGAAGTCAAAATTCTGGTATTGTGAAACCTCTAATATACTGTAAAGGCTTCAAAACAGCTGCTACTACTGCTTAGCAGTGCTACTTACATTGTCCATTTTTATAGAGAACAGTATGTCACACAATTTGTGGTAAAGAGAGAATTGTGTAAATTAGATTTTTTTTCATCCAGCTCAAAAAGCACTTTAAAAAAAGCACTAAATAGTTTAGCCAAGGCTTTGATGTATCAGACTTTCAGACTGTCCTTGAAAGTCCCAAATGGTCAGCAATAATTTTCGTTTACCATGTGCATCCCTAAACAGCAACAAAATGGACTGTGAAACCTGTATTACTTTGCTTAGAGATAAAACAAGAATTCAGTCTTACCCTGTAGAAGAATCCACAACACATCTTCTGATCTGGATCTTGTGCGTCCGTCCCACTCTCTGTTACTTTCTCGTCATCGAGAGGCTTCAGCACAGAGAGGGGCACCTCGATCAGATCCTTCTTACCCTGGACATGAGCCTCCACTGGGCCTGCCTCCGTCGTCCCTGCCAAGCTCTCTGTTACTGGCCGAGAGTGAACCTGTGACACTGTCATTGCCTTAACGAATCTGGCTTCCTCAGCTGACCCTGCCTCACCCATCTTTTTATCTTTTCTCTCCTCCTTCACCTCCTCCTCTCTCTCTTTCGCTTGACTGGACAGAGTGTTTGCTGCGATCTCGTCTGCATCAGTGTTTGCTTCAGGTTGCTCGTCTTTAGCCTGTGGCACTGCTTTCCTCTCTTTATTTGCACGGTCTTTGTTTGTAGGTCCCTCATCGTGTCCCAGGTACGCGAATGAGCTAGTTTGTGTTTGGCTTGGAGAGAATCGCCGCAGCCTGGGAAGACTGTCTACTGACTGTGGTGTGTTCAGCATCCGGCTAAAGGGAGTGACCTTCAGCTCGTTGGGCCGCGGGGTACGGGGTGTCCGAGCATGGAATGAAGCTGACTTACGTTTTATAGGGGCAGGTGAGCGTTGGGTGGTTCGAGGCGACCCTGTGGAGGAAAGGTTTGGGGACAGGGAGCCCACGGATCCACGGCCCACAGCACTACTGCTACGCAGTGGGTGTTTCCTTGGCGATGGCTGCATTTGCGATTGCGGCTGCGTGTGTGGAGGGGAGATCACCCAGCTTTGTTGGTCTCGAAGGCGCATGATGCGCTCCTGCTGCTGTGCCAGCCGCTGCATCTCCGTCTGCAAGAAACTCAGAGATGTGTTCAGACGCTCAATGGATCGTGTGTATTCTGATAAATCCGCCACCTCTGCAGCTCCTCCCTCCTCCAGCGTCGATCTCAGGGGTGCCCCGTCCGGCTTGCACCTCTCTAATCTCGAACCGCTCTCATCATATTTCAAAATTCTTGCCTCTGTGCTTTTCTTTTCACCTTCATCAGGACTACCACCACTACTGGTGTCACCTCCTAGTGGCGAAGTGGCTCCTTTGCGGCGGACAACATTGAGGAAGGCCGTGCGGCCCATCCGTTGCCGGTGACGTGTGAAGGCAGCTTCCACTTTCTTCTTCTGGGCTTCTATGGCTCGCCGCTTCTCCTCCAGCTTCATCTTCAGTTGTACCATCTCTGACACCAACAAGCTGGATGGGTCGCGGGGCGAGGTGACCCGACCGGGACTTCGGGCATCAGGCGTAACGGACCTTGCCATTGCTGCATTGGGGGAAATGCCTATGTCACTTTCTGGAGTGTTCCCGCCACTCCGGCCATCGGCATGGTTCAGCTTGCGGAACTTCTGCTCAGCAAAGCTGGTCATGCGCACTGCAGAAGCAGAGCCAATGGAAGAGGTGGAGCTTGTGGCCAGCGAGCGAGCCCCCAGCAGGCTCGGCACAGGGCTAAAACCACCGCCAGTGTCAGGTAATGGACATGAACGTGCCTCGTAGTCTTGGTCCATGTCAGAGTAGTCCTTCAAGGACGAGTCTTCATCTTGCCCATCCTGAATGTCCTCTGTGCGCACGTGAATTCCCGTGTCTATTTCTGTGGACGTGGAGTTTAGCTCTGCGTCGTCGGCACGGGCCTTAGACAGACTGTCCTCAGGTTCTTGCGTGCTGGAGTTAGGGTCAGTGGCACCATGGTCACAGGAGTCAGGGCTATGCAGGAAGAAGGCAATTTCCCCACCAGGGGGCTGTAGGCTGCTGTGGGGACGCTCAGAGTCATGTATGATCTTTAGAGCTTCCTCCATAGTGGGGGTCAGAGGCTGGGGACCAGAGTCCTCCGGAAGTATACCATTAGAATACCTACAAAGGCAGAGAAATACTTTAGATCACATGATATGACATACAAGGTGTTTTGTTGATTACATGCATCACCATAATTACCTACAAAGCACACAGGTGCCACTGCTTTGGACAATGACCCAAAACGAAATTACTATACAATATATAACCAAGGTTAATCAAACTGTGGTAACTATTCCAAGTGCCAGTATTCAAATGCTGAATCACTATTCAAGTATTCTGTATTTGTGTGATTCAATATTTCAATTGATTATTTATCTTTATTACTTTTGTCAAACACAAACATGTTCTGCCAATTGGAGGAAAATTTAAATGCAGTGGGTCAATTTGTTTGATGCTTTGATATCGGCCAAGTCTTTTTTTCACCTTACATGCAATTAACCAAAGACGTGTTATTAACTCTAAATACACTCAAATACCAGTATCAGTCAGGATGCACCTGACTAAAACATAGCCAAAACAGGCTGAGCAGGTTTAAAATGATCATGTGTAATTTAGCTCTAAAAACATCGTGATACAGCTAGATATTGAGAATCACTATTCAGGTACTCTTTATTTGATTAGCTCACATTTTGCTCAGTCAGAGGATGTTTTCTGAGGCTGCCAAATATGTTAAATTAAATACCTAGATTCAGTCCTAACACGAGGCCTCATGGAACAGTTGCGTGATGCTGCTTCATCATCTCCTTCCTCATGCAACGGGTGAGTGCTCCCATTAACGGGTTGGAAGGAGAGGTTCCTGCGCATGCCCCGTGCCGCTTGGTGAACTTTGAACCCCAGGCCATCTGAGCTTGAAGACCGACTTAGCCCACGACCTGACGGGCAAGCCACATCATCATCAAATGGAATTTCAAATGAGATACCATGGGCTGAAGACCTGTGGTAGAGAAAGAGAGGTGGGGGGGGTGGATCAGTCAGTGAATAAACTAACTAATCTAATATTCATCTTAAAACTGTACTGTTAATTAGTCTCCTGAATTTGTTAAAGAGTAGATTCTATTTGTTGCTTGTTTTACTTGCTGTATGTTTGCCATTATGTTTCTCAAAGAAAACTGGTACAATATGCAATACATGTACCTGTAATCTGATCAATCTTATGATTTCCATTTTTTTAAAGTCCTCTATATGTATCAACACATAAACAGGCTATACAAGTAACAGGAGGTGTAATATGCTGAGATTGATAAACTTCTTTTGATTTAGCTCTTATGTGGTGTTCATGGTCTTGGAACTGAACAGGTTTTATGATGGCACTCGAATGTAGTAGTTGGAGCCACAATGGAAATACGTTCTAAATCTACAAAACAAATTACATTATAAACTAATATCATACCCAATCAATCTAAAATAACAGCCATCTTACAACAGTTATCTACAGTGCATGCAGATAAGAAAAATTCTACATAAAACTGTTACTCGTTTATAGATGTTAAAGTATTGGAGTCTGACCCATAACAAAACATCTAACTGGATGCTGCTTTAACTAACAACATGAACATGAATCAGCAACATTACTGTTAGAATACTAGTTTAATGTGTACATTAATGTGAGAGTGATAACAAGGAGGTCTCCAGCACTGACCGTTTCTCTTTGGGCCACGTCCCCACACACCCATCCACGTATGACAGAGAGTTGGACCTCTTTATCACTGCTACAAGACAAGCAAAATATAATGCTTAACCTTATACACTTCAAAACAAATAAGCCATACCCTTCAGTCCCATACAGCTCTAGACTCTGCACAACTTAGTGTTTTCTCTGCCTTAACCTAACTGCTTTGTGTTATTACATAATTATTTAGCCCTATTATTAAATAATCATGTGCCTCAGGGCAGAATAAACACTATCCTGTGCTGAAAACACTATTGGCTGTAATGGCAATGTTTACCTGATTTGGCAGTGTCTGGTTGAGACCTACAGCAAAGGAAATAAAGCAAAAAAAGCAACAAATAAACCAAACACACAAACAAAAAGAACATAAAATGGTTCGGACAATAAATTGACAAAAATATGAAAGAGAAATTCACAAAATATACATTTACTCAAAAGTTTGTAGACATCTGCTCACAGAAACATATCTCCGAAAATCAAGGATATTAATAGGGAGTTTCTTTTCTTTTGCAGTCTCTACTCTTCTAGGGAGGCTTCCCACTAGATGTTGAAACTAGATGTGAGGATTTGATTGCATTCAGTGACAAATACAAAAGTATTAGTGAGGTAAGGTACTGATGTTGGATTATTAGTTCTGGATCACAAACACCACTACACCTCATCCCAAAGGTTTTAATGGTGCTTCATCACTCCAGAGAACACAGTTCCACTGCTGCACAGCCCAATGCTGGGGGCTTTATACCCCTCCAGCTTCTAAATATATAGGGTCAGATTCCAAGATAGGATTAACTCTAGTCCAGCACTACACTGTTTTGATTTTAATGGAGAATCTCTATTCAGAATGCTGTGTAGTCCAGGACTAGAGTTGATTTCTGTCTGTGGAATCAATCTATTGTGTAACTACTTGTATACGACTACTTGAGTTGTTGTTTTAACTGATCTATGAATATAATAAAAGACAAACCTTTGCTGGTCAGGGCTGGTTGGCCTGTGGATCAGGTTGTGTTTGGTTATTGGAGCCATTTTTGTTGACTGGACTGGGTCAGATACTGAAAACACAAAGGCATCGACACAGGCTCATTATCAAAGACAGATTCTGGAAGAGCACTGTAGAGAATACTAGCCAGCCCAGCCATAAGTTTGTTCTGATCCAGCCATGAGTCCTGAACCAGACAGTAAAGTGCTGTAGAATGCTTACTACCTGGCTCAGGTGTGTTAGGAACTGGGACAAAGAAGACAAACTTGAACTAGGTTAGGGATCGCTGGATAAGAGAGTTCCAGACTTACCTTTGGTTTCAAGTGTTCGAGGCTGAACAAAAGAGGGTTTGACCACTTCACACCACCAGAACAGCTCTGCCATAAACACAAGGTAGTTACTCTAAAACAAACAAACAAACACAGAAACATAAAGACATGAAAGGATAACAGCTGTAGACATGAGAAAACTACCATTCTTCTAACACAGTTGTGACCAATACAATAAAGAGCTACCACTCAGCACAGTTCAGTTCCAACTCGGAAGCCCCCCAGCCTTCCAGAAACTCAGACTATCCAAACTCCTATGAGGAAAAGTGCAATGAAAAGCAACTCAATGTTCCAACTCGGTCACACCTGCAATTTTAATCTGTTAAAATGTTAAAATGAGTCAAACACCTTTTGCGGCATGATAAGATGACATGTTTAATACACAGGACTGTGAGACACCTCTGAGACCACTCTTTTGTAAATTTAATTTTGGTCAAAACAACTATATGTATGCAGTTTTCAGCGTAAGAAAAAAGCATGAAACATGTTTACCAGAAAATTACACAAAACCTCAAACTTACAGTATAATATCAAATCTATCAATATCACTTCCATAGACTCTCCTGCCACTATAACTCTTCCATCTTTCCACTCTTAAGACCAACAAGATACAACAAAAGCTGCTCCCAAAGCTCTCACTGACATTATGTTCTTCTCTTCAAAGAACACCCACACAAGCAACTACATAAACACACCTTAAATGCCTTTCATTTCTTACTCATGTGCATCTAAAATGGCCAAAGAAGATATTTCTGAGGAGATTACATATAAAATGATGCAGATGTGCATAACGAAGATCAAAGTCAAATGATATGAAATAAGGGAGGAATCTCCAAAAACTTAGGAGCTGTTGCTGAGAAAAGGACAAAAAAAGAACAACATTTGCTCTAGAACACTTAAACTGGACATCTGACATATGGAGCAAAGGACTAAATGGACTGATGAGTCTAAATATGTAATTGTGATTACTTGGATTTTGAGAAGGAGAAAATGCAACCAACTTCTAAGACTGAATTTGTGAGGTATAGAAAATCACCCCTCCAGATTCTTTAACAAAATTCAAAGTGAGTCTCTTGAAAAGCATGGAAGC